AGAAGGGCCTCGGGACTTCTAGTCCAAACCTTTGGTTTGCAGTTGAGGGGGGTGAGGCCCAGTGGGGGGGGAAGTCCTCAGGCTGTAGCATGAGCTCTCAAACCCAGCCCTGGCTGTGTTCTCTTGCCTCTGGTTCAGTGATCCCTCAATTCAGCTGGTCCTCACTTGCATGGCTTTAGATTCTTGGGCTAAGGCCCAGAAACTCGGGTATTTGAAAGGCTGCTCTGGGGCCCATTTGGAAACAACTATGATGAATAGAAGCTATTCGATGCCCATCTCTGTTTGTTGTGACTCCCTTTGTCGCAGGGCCCCCCTGGTGCCTGGGGCACCCAGTAGGTATTTGGTCCTTGTAGAGTGAGTGAGCCCCAAAGGTATGCCAGTGCCCACTAACTGGGGCAGGCTGGGAACAGTGAAATGAAGCTATTATGGTTCATTGGCTTGTAGTGTTACAGTCTTGAGCTGAGCTAACCCATAAGAACAGCAAAGAGAATTTTTTAAAGAGTAGATTATTAAGCAGAGGGAGGACAGAGACAGCATTAGAGTTAGGTTTTCATTAACTTCATTAACTAAGGCAAAGATAGGTTTATGTATTAAATTCCCGTATCAAATAACCTATGCATTCTCTAGAGGTGTGGTGCATGTACCCGTTCAGTATACTGTTCAGTAGTCATGGTTGTGGGAAAAAAAAACATGCATGGCATTTTGCTTAGATGTAAGAATTTTTACTGGCAACTTTTGTTCTTGTTTTAGAAATAAAACTTAAGTTCATTCCGATGTTTGTTTTTAAAACCTTTCTCTCGGGCACCTGGGTGGCTCAGTCGTTAGGCGTCTGCCTTCGGCTTGGGTCATGATCCCGGGGTCCTGGGATCGAGCCCCACATCGGGCTCCCTACTCAGCGGGAAGCCTGCTTCTCCCTCTCCCCCTGCTTGTGTTCCCTCTCTTGCTGAAGATACAAACCAGCAGCATATACTGATATTCTGTCTTACTGAAATGAAAACACAACTCCTCTACTAAGCTAGTTCACTGGGACAAAAGAAGAAAGATTTTTCTGCTAAATATGGCCAATTTGGAAAATAGGCATTATACTCATTAGAACCTCATTTCCCTGCATGGGTTCAGGCATCTTCATTAACGTGTTGTGACTTGGGTCTAACAAGTTCTCGTATTCTAAAATTCTGACATAGTATATAGCAGGAGGACGACCTCATTATTTTTAATCTGTGGAGTTTAAAAACCTGTTGTTAACTCCATTATCTAACTTATTTATGAATTCCCATTACACATAGTGGGGTACAGTTAGGTCTGGTTCCTTCTATGTTCTAACATTTCAGGACTTTCAGTGTGGCTTTGTCTTTTAGCTTCAGTTGGGGTAGCATGTGGAGGAGACCTGAATTAAAGTACCATCTGCACTGTCAGCCGCAGTGGGGTGTGTGGGTGTGGTGGACATACATGAGCAAAACTAAACTTTAATCACCATCATCCTCCCCAAACAAAGCAGAATGTTTAAAAGGTTTTCAGCGTTTTGTCAGGCCTAAGAGAAACACTGCCTTTGGGGTTCGATTTTCAGTAACTAACTGCATATTCTGTATACACACCTGTAGCACATGTTACTATGGGATCCTGTTGCCTTCAGCAAATAGTTGCCTTTGATGAGAAGTGTGATCTGGGGGTAATTACCAAGGCAATAAAAATTGCAAAACATGCATTCTTTCTCCCAGCCTTTGCACCCGGTTGGGGTGTGGGGGGGTAGGTTTTAAGCCTGTGGACCTCTGGTTTCTTGGTAGGACCATCCTCACATTTATCGTGCTGGACCGTACAAGCCCACTTTATTTCTGTGGCCCTGTTGCAGATACGAGTGTCAGCTTCCATCAAAACAGTTGCTTTCCATGAAAACTCAAGACAAAGATAATTAAAGGGGCGGGGGGGCGCCTGAGCAGCTTAGTTGGTTAAGTGTCCGACTCTTCATTTCAGCTCAGGTCTTTGCTCTGGGCATGGAGCCTGCTTAAGATCCTTTCCCTCTCCCTCTGCCCCTCCCCACCCTGTTTGCTCACCTGAGCTCTTGCACACGCCCTCTCTCTGTCTCAGAAAAGAGTTGGGATTTAGATAGGTTTCCTTAATTGCTAAAATCTGATTTATTTTTTTAATATATTTTTTAAAGATTTTATTTATTTATTTGACACAGAGAGAGAGATAGCAAGAGAGAGAGAGCACAAGCAGGGGGAGTGGCAGGCAGAGGGAAAAGCAGGCTTCCCGCATGAGCAGGGAGCCCGATGCGGGGCTTGATCCCAGGACTCTGGAATCATGACCTGAGCCGAAGGCAGTGGTTTAACCAACTGAGCCACCCAGGCACCCCAAATCTGATTTCTTTTAAAGCCCCTGGATAAGTGGACCAAAATATGTATATAAATGGTCCTGTCATCTACGTAAATGCTTAATTTTAAACTTTGATACAAGTTTATGCTGTATTTCATTAAAGATCCATAAAATTGAAAATAATCTTAACAGGCTTTATAAACGTGGAACTCTTTAACCTGCTGCTGATGAAGGCAGTGCCCTGCTGTGGTCCTTAGTCTGGGTAGCAACCTCCCTTCTCAGAGCAGGTGGAAATGGTAGGGGGCACTTGTAGATTCCCCCGGTGACTGGGGACAGCTGTGTTTAGTAGGTGGGCTCAGGGATGCACTTGAGATAGTCTTGCGGAAGGAACACCTGCACCCAGAGTGCCAGTCGTGCCCCCTGTGGGAAACCTAGTAAGGGTGGTGACCAGCCCAGGACCGTGCACAGCTGTGACTCAGAGCAGCTCAGCTGCAGGCCGCCAGCCTACCGTCTCTCACGGGTTGTTTAAGTTCATGAGTTCTTTCATCTCAGCAGATTGTAGAGCTATATATTGATAAAATTAACTTGACTTTAATTTTAGGGGCATTTTTGAAAAAAAATTCTGATGTGTCCCCAAATCAGATCTGGGAATTACTCCTTTTGACAGGGCCAAGGGACCAAACAATGGAGAAAAACCTATTTGTTTCCTGTTGTTTGTCCCAGTTTTGTTATTGCAGTGCCAGAAAAACTCAACCTGATCGTTAGGCTTGCCATCTTTGTTTGAGGTAACATACCAGGCTTCATGATAGCCTGTGGGTGTTGGAGCTCCCAGAAAGAATTCTCTGGGAAGACCAGACCCGCTAGAACTGGGCAGGATGGCCACGTTGGAGCAGTGGATAGCAGATTAGGTCTCGCGGTGGCAGATGTAGTTTATAGAGGTTACGCAGACCTTTTCATCATACTTAGTTTACTTTTTACAGACTACTGGCTTGTTACATCCATCCTCTTACTTGCTTTTTCAAAGAGTTGTGTTAGCTTTGAGTCAAATGTGAAACTGATTCAAACCTTAGAATGGTTTTTTCTATATTCCTGTTAATCAGTTTGCAATCAGTTATTCAGCAAAGCGTATTAAAGGCCCTGTATTTGTAAGGCCCCCCCCACCCCCAACCTTAGTTTTGGGTGTGATGTGTCGCTGTGGGCTTATGAGTGTGTAATGGAGCTGCATTTGTCTCCTGGAATATTTGACTTTGGAGCTGATTTTTCATTTCTGATATGTGCATTTGGAACCATAATTGAGAAAGCTGTTTATCTTTTATGTTTCATAACAGCCATTTTGTGATTTTTTTTAAAAAAAACAAATTATTGCCAGCATGAAAAAAAAAAGAAACTTAGGTTTTTATATTTTAATACAATTGAAGAATTTAAAATATGCTTTATCTTTTGTAAACTTGAGATCGGAGGGGAGACTTTCTTGAAATTGTGGAAAATTACACCTCACTTCTCTTTACTGTCAGCCAGAGAACCTTTAAAAGACAGTAGATTTGTGTCAAAGTATCTCTTAGTTACCAGTCTTGGAGGTTAGAAGAAAAAATCCATGAAGATGGATTTTGTTCCTAAAGAACGAACTAGTGTGGGCGCCGAATGTGTGCCTTGCGCTGGCCGGACACTTGAACCTCTGTCAGCTAAGCCTTATTAGTTCTATTACTGTGTTCCCGTGGTATGTACATCCGAGGCAGGGAGAATTTAGGGTACATGTCTATCCAGCTTCTTACATATTTCACTTTAAAAATGGTCAAAAGCAAACATTTCTTAATCTTAAGCATTACTGTTGCTGTGTGGTTGTGGTGTTTTCCTTTGGGACAGTGATGTAAAGTAGATGGGTCTGTCTTTCATATGGCTAGTAAATTTGAGTTTTCTCAAGTGATAAATTTGAAAACTACCTTGCAGTGAATTTTTTAAACAAACTTGATGGGAATTAGAGACCTTTTTAAGGCCCCTCTTCACCCCCACTTCAGTTCCTTATGAGCTGACCATCCCATGATGCGTCCATTCCCACATTATACTTCCGTCCTCTGCCTAGAGGGTCTCACAGGTTTGCACTGAGGGCATGTATACCATTTTGCTTTTCATGTCTTTCATTCCTGAAGCCGTTTTCCATGTTTCTACCTTCTTCATAATTGGCATTTTAAATTACTATAGGATATGCTCTTTGATGGGTCTTTAGTCATCTGACCATTTCTCTTTTCACTAGTTTCCAGTGTTTCTAAACATGCTGGTATGTTGTTCCTTCTCTCCTTTCACTTACTGTCTTGGTCTGAATTCTTGAGGCTCACCACCCCACTGGTGCCTTCCTTGGCTGTCGTGAAGGTCAATACAAGCTGGTACATGGAAAAATATGTTAATGGTTATCAAAGTATTCTGTAGAAAAACAGCCTAGACTGAAGTGTGAATGTGCTTTATTAAAGCAAAGAGGGCATACATTTGAGTCCAAACTGCAATGCTGAGACTCAGCAGCTGTCTACCGTTGGCTTCCGTGTGTGTGTGCATGTGTGTGTTGTGACAGCATGAGAATGGATGGAATTTACTCTTGCCGTGTTGCTAAGTAGCTTAGAGTTTTTGCAGAAGGCTCAGATTATTAGGAGAAAGGAACACTCAGTTAAGTATAATGCATTTTGTTCTCTTTTTAGATCAATGTCCGAGTTACCACCATGGATGCGGAGCTGGAGTTCGCCATCCAGCCAAATACAACAGGAAAACAGCTTTTTGATCAGGTTGGTCTCTGTGAGCTTAGAGAGAGAACTCCCATTTAGGAAAAATTTTTTTGCAAATCTGAATAATTTTGCTGAATGTATTGGTTTGCTCCTTACTTCTCTTTGTAGAGGAGAACATTTTCCCCTCCTTCCAGGGGTTCACACTGTTGTAAAAACTCTGCAGGAGTAGAGTGTTCACAGCCCTGTGAGAGGAAATTTAGGGAATGCTCTGAAGTCTTTATCAGCATAGTGCTACATCCAAAAGCTCTGGCTCCCATCCCTCACCCCCAGGGGTCTTCATGGTCACTGCAGCCATCTCCTGCCATCTGGTCAGCAGGTCACAGTGCGGCGAGGGCCAGACACTGCTTGAGGGCCCAGCTGGAACCGGGCAGGCCATAGGTTCCATGTCCAACTGCAGCATCTGTGAACTCACTCAGGTGTCAGCAGATGCTCTTCCTTGAGCTGGGCAGTAGAGCACAACTACATTCCTGAATATTTCTTCCTGAGACCTGAAGGTGAATGCAGAGTTTTGATAATCATGAGCCACCAGGAAAGCTGTGATAATTCTTCCATGGAACAGTTCCAAGTTTTAGAACAAAATCTGCCTCTCTGAGCTGAGTAAATTCTGCTCTGGGGCCAAGGATCCAAGAGGGCAGCAGGAGCAGACTGAGTTTACAAGTCCCTTGAGCTGTAGCCTGCCTCCCTGAGAGGTCCCACTGATCGGAAAGGTGATGTTCTGTACCCTAGCACCAAACCCAGAAATGGGGGTGGGTGCTGATGGGAAATGTGGGAGATAGAATTCCAGCAAATGTAAAAGGTGTTGGTGATTCCCTGCCGTGCTTGATGATCCCTCCTTCTCTTACCCCCACAGTGAGCACCTAGTAGGTTAATTCTCCACCTCCCCTCCCCCGTGTGCTGGGCCAGCTGTGTCCAGCAGCCCCAGGAGCCAGCACTGGTGCGGTGTGTCCCCCCCGGGCCTCCTGCGATAGGCGGGGACACCTCCTCAGCTCTCCTTGTGCTGCTGTGGCGAGCTCATCCCTGGCTCTGCCTCACCCTCTAAGGATAAAGGCATCTACTGCTCTGGGTGAGGCTGGACTTGGGGCAAAAATCTAAAGGTTTCTCGGGAAAGATAATCCGGAAGTAAGTTAAATGGAGCCAGCTGAGTGCCATGTGGGTCAGTGGTTAGAACAGGGATGGGTAGGAGACCCTCGGTCACCCCAGAGTTCTTGTCTGTAAATGAGAGCTGGGCTGTCCTCAAGCAATTTTTAGAGCAGAGTTGGAAACTCTAGGTTAGGTAGATGATAGAGTTTTGATGTCTCAGCCATTTAGCTGCCCTTGCCTCCGTCTGCCTTGTTCCATTCACGTGTTGCTTCTCAGAAATTGTGTGAAGAAGCCATCAGAAGAGTCTGTGGTACTTCCGCAAGATAGAACGGCCACTACCTCTTAGAAGATCCTTGTCTGCTCCTTGGGGTCCTTTGGAAGCGGGGAGGGAATGGAGAGATTGGGAGAGGCCTGCCCTGTTCCTTCAAATACTCCCCTCGGATGGTTCAGTTCTACAGACATTTTTAACTGCACACTCTTGTGCTAGGCACAGAGCTGCATACTGCACAGGATTATCTCCACTTCTTGATCCAGGGTGCCATATTGATAGAACTCTACATGTTCCTAAATGCTGAGTAATTACATCTAGTTTGGTGTTCAGATTGGTTTTAAGCCAGGTATTTTTCTAATATTAGATTATCTGCTTACCATAGCATGGAGCTGTGGATTAATAGGTGTACAAAAAGTGGACCCTGAACTCAATCAGTAGATAGGGGTTATTTAAAAAGTGCTAACCACATAAATCCAGTCAACATGCCAAGATTTGATAAGCTCTGTATCTAAATTATTCCAAAGCTCATTAGTCCCATCAACGATCCTATTCAAGCACCTGTTATTATTCCCCACCCCAGAAAGTCAAGCCCCCTGGTTCCATGTGCTAAACAACAAGCAGGGTCACATCCCACTTTGACCTCTTTGTTCCCAAGTCATGTTTCCTGCCTGAATCTCCGCCAACCTCCCAAGACAGGTAATGAAATTCCACCACCGATCAGTTAATGGAAAGGGAAGTAGTGGGAGACAGAAAGATCCTGAACTCCACCTTCAGCCATGAGACCTGGATCACAAAGCTCTCTGTCAGAGTTCACTTTTAATTTCTTTACAGTTCGGTGTACCTGTCCTGAAAAGTACCACATAATCTGAGAAGGCTAAGGCTAGAGCAGACCTGGGAAACGGCTGTCTGTATGTCATAAGTGAGGACATCAAGGCCCAGAGAGAGAAGAGAATTGCTCAAGGTTCTGTAGCTTGCCGGGGCTGGGGCAGGGGTTTGCTCCACAGTGTCCAACCCTACTTAAACTTGTCTTTTTGAAGATCCATTTGTTGATCCTTCCACATCCTTCCAAGATAGCACATGACGCAGAGAACATCCCACTTTCCTGTGTGTGGGTGGTCAGGACAGTTCCTCAGTGGATGCCCTGGGTGCTTTCTGGGCCTCCTTCCCCATACCCCAACCAGGCTGGGCATGTTTTCCTAATGTCTTCAGAGTCTGTGTCCTTTTCTCTGTTGCTCACCTGATGACCTTCTAGGTCTGGGAAGGTTGTTCATGGGCCAAACTACTAGTTCCTAGAATATGGTCCTTAAATGGAATGGGTTGAAAGAGACTTTAGAGGTGAGTTAGTCGGAACCCTTCTCTCCCAACCCATGAGTTACTTCTGCAAAAACTGGCCCAACTCCACCCCAGGGCTCTTGCTTTATCTGCGCCTAGATACTAGTCCAGGGATCTGACGGAGGGCCCGAGCAGTGCCTTCCCGCTGCCAAAATTCCTGAGGTGGCGAGAAGGGTGTGACTCAGTGTGCCCATTGTTTCCATCATCAAAGCATATGTTCCAGCTGTCACTTCAGATTGAGCCAAGTAGACCTGTCCCTGCATTTTCCTTTCCAAAACTGCCATTTAAAACACCGCTGAGGCAGAGATAAAGGAATAGACCCCACACCTGTTCCCATTGTGCTTTCATGATGTATATCAGCTTTAGGGTAAACTAAGGACGTTGGAGGGAATGGTGAGGTGCGTTTTTCCAGGAATATTGGATTTTCCCATAAGGAGGACTTAGGCGTTGATTTTCAGATGGACTGAATGAAAGCAGGTTAATTCACTTGTGCCGTTTCGAGGAAGACACAGGAATAGCAGTAAGGCTTTGAAACAGGCTGCAGACAGTTACCTTCCTATGTGATGGAAGATGCCACGGAGACATTTGGCAGGTCGGGGCGCCCAGGGACAGGCTTTTCACTGAGTGAGTGAGAGCCCGGGGTTATGTCCATGGCGTGGTTCCAGGGTCTGTGATCTGTTTCGTCAAGGGGGCTGGCCACATCCTAGCAGAGGTAAAGAGGCACCTGTGCTGTGGCCCTGGAAGTCAGCGAGGGTCTGACTGGGATGGGGAGGGGAGACAAGCAGACAGGAAATCATTTCAAACTGGTTAGGACCCAGACTAAGGCTAAGTTCGGTGGATGGAGTACAGGACTAGATTGCTTATGAATGTGGGGCTTTCCCATACAATTTTGAAACAACCCAAGAGGAAGGCAAGGCAGGTTTTATATCCAAATGTTGAGATGGAGGTTTACAGGGAGAAATTAGCAGGATAGGGTACAGAAAACCTGGTCTTCATATCAGCTACCCTAACAAGACCTAGGCAGGGTTCACAAGAGACTTGGGAGTTAGCACAGAACAGTCCAAGTTCTTCCACATCATCCCATGATGGAGCCTGCCTCCCACTCGTTGGGGGAGTGAGGGAGCCAATGAACGGGCCCATCTTTGGTGTAGGGTGAACAGGCTCTTGGAGAGCTCCACAAGCATCTGGTCCCCTAGTGGATGAGAAAACAGGCTCAGAGCAGGAGTTTATTTGGAATTTCAGATTTTATTTTAAGCAAGTGCTCCAGATACCTGATTGGTCATTTCTCATGTGTTCAGACCTCTTCCCCTTTAAATGTGATAGAAGCCATATATTTGAAGAACGGTAACCTTCTTATAAAGGCTTAGCGTTGTATGTCATGGGATTTAAACTATGCAGCAAAGCACTGGGACTCGTTAGACATCATCACAACTAAGTGTCCCCAGCAGGTTGCTTTTCTGTTTTGTTTTGGTTTTTTTTAAAGATTTTATTTATTTGAGAGAGAGAATGAGAGAGAGCACATGAGGGGGGGAGGGTCAGAGGGAGAAGCAGACTCCCTGCTGAGCAGGGAGCCTGATGTGGGACTCGATCCAGGGACTCCAGGATCATGACCTGAGCCGAAGGCAGTCGCTTAACCAACTGAGCCACCCAGGCGCCCGCTTTTCTGTTTCTAAGACAGAAGAATAACCAGTGGGATTCTGTCGTGGAGAATTTTATTATTTATTTTAAAGATTTATTCATTTAGTTGAGAGAGCGTGTGTGCACACGCCCACACAAGCAGGGGGAGAGACAGAGGGAGAGAGAGAATCTCAGGCTCCCTGCTAAGTGCAGAGCCTGACGTGGCCTGAGAGCCCAACCTGAGCTGAAATCAAGGATGCCCAACCAACTGAGTCACCCAGGTGCCTCGGAGGAGAATTTTTTTTTTTTTTAAAGATTTTATTTATTTGACAGAGACACAGCGAGAGAAGGAGCACAAGCAGGGGGAGTGGGAGAGGGAGAAGCAGGCTTCCCGCTGAGCAGGGAGCCCAGTGCGGGGCTCGATCCCAGGACCTGGGATCATGACCAGAGCCGAAGGCAGACGCTTAACGACTGAGCCACCCAGGCGCCCCTCTGAGGAGAATTTTAAAATAACAAAATTCTTGCTATGACCTTGGGTTGAATTCTGCCTTCCTATATCAGAATTTCAAATTTCTGGAGGTTGGGAGAATGCTAGTCACCCCTTGGCATGTGTGAAGCATAACTCCCCAGTTTCCCTGGAAGCTTGCCGCCATCCATTGCCCACCTTTCCAGGGACTGCTGTTTCTCTCTTCCTAGTTAAGCAGAGGCCTGGGCCACCTGACTGGGAAGCAGGGACAGGAAACCAGAGGAGACCCAAGTGTTGCTTTGCTTCACTTGGTGACTTTCAACCCCTTTTTCACGTGGGCACACGTGAAAGGAGACATTCACGCCTGGGATGCACACTTGCCCTGGTGTCACCTGGGGGTGCCTGATGAGTGCTTACTCTAACTCAGCTGGTTGTCTTCACTCGGGAAAGCTAGTGGAGAACGGAGGAGTAGGGGTGCAAATGTATAAGATCTTAAGATTTTCTGAGATTTAAAGTTAATCCTGAATCTGCTCGTGTATGTTAAAAATAAATTGTTCACGGCTTTGGGGGAATAGCCTCTGTTAGTAATAAGTTGGGATTCCTGTTGGGATGGTGTAGGAGAGGCATGCTCGGTGTGATGGGGCGGCCAGCACCTCGCTCTCCTGGCTGCTTCAGTCCCTGCCCCGCTGTCTCTCTCACACAGGTGGTTAAGACCATCGGCCTTCGGGAAGTGTGGTACTTTGGCCTCCAGTATGTGGATAATAAAGGATTTCCTACCTGGTTGAAACTTGATAAAAAGGTAAGTCAGAGTTAACTATTTACAGGCTGTTGTTTGATTGTTGGTCTGCTCTGTTAACTTTGAAACTGGATTGTTTTTTGTTCTTGTTATTTGTGTAAAAGTTTTTACAGACAAAAAAAGTTGCAGGTTTCCAGTAAATGGGGGATACTGGTTGGAAGTTAGATCCTGGCATTTCTCCTTCCTGCTCACTCATTGGGGCATATGATGGTTAATTGCTTAGCTTTTAGTTGACCTTAATTTCTTTTTCCCCAATGAGATTGTTAATCTTATAAACCATGAATCCACTGTTTTGTAAGAACCGGTTATTGCTTTGTTTGAACCTGTGTTAGGTTATCTTCAGGCTCCAAAGACTGAATAATTCCATTAACAACTGTAAAGAAAAGCAATAAGTTTAAATGTGTTTTCTCCACACAATTTGAAAATGTCCCTTCTCCCAAACCTGTGCCTTCTTCCCATATTACTATAGTAAGTGTGGGGGCCATTAGGGAAGGGAGGGGACATGAGTAGTTTTAAATGGAAGTTCCAGGGGCCCCCAGCTTGACTGGCCACGGGGGCAGATGCCAGGTTCACAGGTCCCTAAGCAGGCTGCTTCTAGATCTGAGTTCTCTGGAATTGGGAGCACCTCCCCAGTAGGTAGCGGCCGGCGCTCGTGGCTTGGCGGGTCACCAGCGGGCTGCTGCTGGACTTCAGCGGGCCTTTTCTCATCTTAGTCTAAAAGGTGACTTTCGGGCGCCTGGGTGGCTCAGTTGGTTGGGCGACTGCCTTCGGCTCAGGTCATGATCCTGGAGTCCCGGAATCAAGTCCCGCATCGGGCTCCCTGCTCGGCGGGGAGTCTGCTTCTCCCTCTGACCCTCCCCGCTCTCATGTTCTCTCTCTCTCTCTTTCTCTCTCTCAAATAAATAAATAAAAATCTTTAAAAAAAAAAAAAAAAGGTGACTTTCGAGTAAATGTACCTTCTGAACACTGGCCTGCAGGAGCCCTTTGAGCCAGTGGTGAGGAACTGGTTCGGGGAGGCAGGTCTTGGCGTCCAGGCTTGCAGGCAGCATTTGGGTTTGTGGTGCAGGTGTCGGCACAGGAGGTCAGAAAGGAGAACCCTCTTCAGTTCAAGTTCCGGGCCAAGTTCTACCCCGAAGATGTGTCTGAGGAGCTCATCCAGGACATCACGCAAAAGCTTTTCTTCCTCCAAGTGAAGGAGGGAATTCTCAGCGATGAAATTTACTGCCCTCCTGAGACAGCGGTGCTCCTGGGCTCCTATGCGGTGCAGGCCAAGTTTGGAGACTATAACAAAGAAACGCACAAGTCAGGGTACCTCAGCTCTGAGCGGCTGATCCCCCAAAGGTGAGCAGGGGACGGCCAGGCCTGGGGGAGAGCAGTGCTTGCATCCCTGAAGGGCGTAAGTGGTGTGTGTGAGCAGAAGCACTCAGCAAGCACGAGGGTGCGTGATCCTTGAGGCCGGGACTCGAGCACTTCCTGCTCTGTGTGCTTAACCAGCACATGCTGTGGCCTCCAGAGGCACTGACCTACCAGAGCCTTCCCCTCGGGCACTGAGCCGCCTCTACGGTCCGTGACGAAGAACCGCAGCAGGAAGGGGGGCCGCTCTCCCCAGGAAGAGCAGCTGTGTTACTGTATACATAATCACACTTCCTGGCTTCCCCTGGTGCATAGACATTGGGCCCTGTTAAATCTGTTTTTATTCACTAATGGTCATATAAATTACCCCTTTTGGAAGAAGAGTCACCTTACAATATAAAACACCATTTTAAAATTTTTCCAGCAAGACTGGATATGTCTCATTCTAAGTTCTAAGTCTTTTAAGTTGTTAATTGTCCAAAATGCTGCATATTAGGAAGTAGAAACACTCTTTGTGGGTGGTTTTATTTGAAAGAAAACTCAAGGTTTGCAGGTGGGTGGGGGCCCTCTGCTTGCCTCTCACGGCCCTTTGTGGTGACCTTCTTGTGCCGCCTGTTTTGCAATTCAGAGTCATGGACCAGCACAAGCTCACCAGGGACCAGTGGGAGGACCGGATCCAGGTGTGGCACGCCGAGCACCGCGGGATGCTCAAGTGAGTGTGGATTGGCTCCTGCCTCTCCAGCGGGTTGCCTTGGCATTAACCCCACATAGGGTCCTCAGGGTGGTTAGCTCCCGGAGCCGCTGCCCTGGGCTTCAGCCCGAGCGGGCAGAGCAGTGAAAGGTAACAGTTAGTTGCTCAGGAGGTTTCTCTTAAATAAAGCCAGGTGTTCATGTCTGGGGGTAAGAAGCAGTTTAGATTCAGCCTCAGGCCCTAAAGCCTTCTCCCTTGTTTTAGAGGAGAGAAGGTCTTGGGTCTAAAACACTTGTTTTAGTCAAGAGGGCAGGAGCATTGTTCACAATAGGAAAAAATTGATCCCAAGTGAGAAACACTTCCTATGAAAGAAGCACAAAGAAGGCATGAAGGAGGAACATGATGTGACATGTGGCTATTAGAGGTAAGAAATGGGCAGATTCTCTGTTGCCCTAGAATCCTCACCTGGGGCATTAGCAGCAATTCTGTGCATTCCCCCAACCTTAGAAGTTTATTTATAGTTTGGGCCTCACAGACGTTGCGTCCTTCAGCTCTCATCTGTCCTGAGCGTCTTTTGTGGAGGGAAAGAGCTCAAGGCCTAAGTGGTGGCTGCTAGTGACATGGACAGTGGGAGTCCCTGCAGCAGCATGTGGGTGAGAGAGAGACTGCCTACCAGGGCAGTCTAAAAGGAAAACCTCCTGTGTCCAGAGAAAGAACCCAGCATGAGTCTGTTCAGTTCTTTCAGAAGGTCTAGAGTACATCAGTGGTCAGCGTCCAACAGCTCAGGGCCCAGGCGTGAATGGCCAACAGAGGGACAGCACCAAACCCACAGCTGCCAGCCCATCCTGCCAGAGCTGCGGTTTTACGGTTCCGGATACCGCACGCACGAATGACCATGTCCTTGTTTGTTCTCCCTGCTAGGGACAGTGCCATGTTGGAGTATCTGAAGATTGCTCAGGACCTGGAAATGTATGGAATCAACTATTTTGAGATAAAAAATAAGAAAGGAACAGACCTTTGGCTTGGAGTGGATGCCCTCGGACTGAATATTTATGAGAAAGACGATAAGTGAGTTGAACTTTATAATTTCAGTTGGTGGGGGATTGGGGTTGGAAACAAGGGAGGCATTGGCAACCATGCATGTGGTTTCTTTTGAAGTGTTTCTCTGGTGGCTTACCGGACCAATGTGTGCATCTTCAAGGGCTTTTCAGCTGTGATGTGGCCACATTTTGTCAGAGGTTGGCTTGAGGTGTGCGCTGTTCGTCTTCTGTCACCATAGCTTGTCCACCAGCTCAGTTCCATGCGCTGACCCACAACCCCACAGACCAGAGCTGCAGGAAGACCTCCCCTGCTCTCCGACGGAGGCCCTGCCGCCGGCCGCCCAGGCACCAGCACACCCACAGATCCCACCCAGGCAGCCCTTGCCCTGCTGGTGGCTTAGTTTGTGGTAATCCAAGCAAGAGTAGTTCCAGTGCTATCAGAGATCTTAAGGTTCTGTAAACAGTGGCTTATGTACAGTTTAGCTAAATCCTCTGAACCTGTGAGAGGTGTCTGATGGCCACGTGTTAGCTCTGTGTGTGTGTGGAGTAAGTTCTGAAAGAGCAGTAGAGAGCAAGCCAGGCCCTGCTGGCTGCTTTTGCCCGTCCCTGTGCTCACAAACACTGCGAATGTGCCTGTTTGTGCCCGCCAGCTAGATACACAGGGAAAAGATCCTTTTCATTCAGTGAGGGCAAGTTTTCCATGGTGGTTCCCTGTGCCTTTGAGTGATGGCTCTCCCACATTTCCTCCTGTTGCCCCTCCTCTCTGCTGTTAGTGCTCCCCAAAAACCATCTCTCTGGCCTTCATGGGGGGTGTGCCCCTACTTGGAACAGACGACATCACATGAAGACTCTGCCTTCAATCTCAGCCATGTGTCTTCTTGCCAGAACCGGGGTACAGATACCTTTCATTTGGGTGGGACAGGGGCCTGTCTCAGGCCTTCCTAGACCCTCCACTTGGGGCCAGAATTGGATGGAGGAGAACCATCTTTGCTGGAAAGCCTGGTTCCAGTCAGGAAAGACCCCAATCACAGGAACTCCTCCGAGAACCTGGTAGTGAGTTATCGAGGATTCTCGGTTTGCTGCCTCCCCCAGGTGTGCTGGACCCAGTGTCGTACAGAAACATGAGCAGTCTGGGGGGCTCAGGAAACCAGTCCCTGGTCCTTCCGGAAGCCGCACAGTTGGAGGACGGCGACTGGTCAAGGCAGTGCCCTCATGGGAATAGATGTGGGAGACTGCCTCTGTCTCTGAACTCATTTTTTGAATGACCCGATTCTGTCACGTAGCTGTGGCCAGGGCTGTCTAAACAGGTTTTTCCAGCTGCAGGAAACAGCTATAGGCAGGAACTTGCTGATGTCAGCTTGTAACTACCTCCAGCCCACGTAAATGTTAATTTTTTCCAAGTGAAAATTTGAGTACTGCAGTTCATTCAGTCTCTTCCTGCTCTCTTCCCACTCCCCCAATTTACCAGTGAAACTGGTAGTTCTCTCAAAGGGGTCTTCTCCCCCAAGAAGACACTGGGGCATAGGGCAGTCCTCACTTCCTCCCTGCCCCTGAAGGCAACCTTCTTTTCAGTTAGGAAGAAAGACTTAACCAGACATTCAGTCAGTAGGCCTTTGAAGCAGATAAGCAGGAGGCTGACTCAAGTCTGAGGAATGCTGGGATGACTCTGAGCTGTGATAAGTGTGGAATCACTACCCTCAGTCATACAGCTAACAGTGGACAATTGGGCGCTCATGGAGTGTTCAAGTGAGAGAGCGGATCTATTGAGTGTGTGAGTGGGGCGATAAGAGACTTAGTGCACCTGCAAATAAACAAATATACCTTTATTACCGTATTTTAGAATTAAACGTATCCTGGTTGGGAAATGTCTCTTGAGGTCCCTTTTCACTGTATACATAACCACTGAGTGGGAGCATGTGGGACTGAAAGCATTTGTCTTTTTCTGTAAACCTGTAGATGAGGAAGGAACTTGGAGGGGGAGGAAATAGGCAGACCCCTTCCCTGAAAAGTGTCAGCTTGGAAACAGAGAACATTGAGATTAGCTGTGTTATGTGATCCTACCTGGCATCATCAGACCAAAACCAACAAAGACAAAACAGTGAGAGGAACGTGCCCTTGCCCCCAAGTTCTTCAGTCCTGTGAGAGCACTTCTTCCCTCCTAGGGCTCACCCCTCCCACACTCCTGAGTCCCGCAGTCTTCCTGGTCTTCCCAGAGGCAGGCGTCTGGGCGGTAGACTCGGGCTCCAGCAGGTAACTCGGTGGGCCCTTTAAGGGAGAGGATGCTGGAGAAGACTGCAGACAAGCCGGGGCCGAAACAAGGGCCAGTCTCTTTTTCCCTTAAATTTCTCAGAGTTGTAAATCACCTACTCTGATTTGTATTTCTGTCTTACTAGCTTTACTGTATATGTAATAAGCCAGTCGTCATGGTGGTTATTATGGGATGCCGTATAGCACAGTACTTGTATGTAGCGTGTACATACTCTAACGTACAACATAGTGAACTGTAATATAGTGTCTAGTATTATGTATATCATAATATCTTAAAATAAGCCAGTCATTTTTTTTTTTTAAAGATTTTATTTATTCGTCACAGCACATACAAGGAGGGGGAGCGGCAGGCAGAGGGAGAAGCAGTCTTCCCACTGAGCAAGGAACCCGATGCCAGACTCAATCCCAGACCATGACCTGAGCCAAAGGCAGACGCTTAACTGAGCCACCCAGGTGTCCCAATAAGCCAGTCATTTATATTTCCAGTTTATAAAATTAAAATTACGCTAATGGGCAGAATGCTGATTTTGCCCCCTCCCCTGGGTGTGCGTTACAGCTCTGTGCTCTTGCATTAGTGGGTTACTGATCTATGTAAGAGAGGAGAGCAAAAGACCGTTCTTTGGTTTGTCTGAGTTTTCTTTTATCAGATACGCCAAGATCACAGTTGTCAGTGCCTTCTCTCCTTTCAGGCCTTTGGGACCCTAACTTGAACGTGGAACAGAATTTAAAAAAAAAAAAAAAACCTCCTAGTTTCTTACAGAGACTGTTGCAGGGACTCCAGTTAGTCCACCGAGAGTAAGAAGTTTAAAAGTTCACCTCAGACTGGCAGACAAGAGTTTGGCCTCCGTGTGTTTGGATGTGCGCGGGGGCGGGGGAGAAGCATGGTGCCTGGTTAAGCGTGGCTGGCAGCAGGCACGCACGAGGGGCGCGTGGGAAAGTTCCTTCACGTGCCTGCCCTGCAGAGTGGTGGGGGTCCACCCTGCACGGGCCCCCGCTGATAGCGATGAGTGTCTTTGCTTCCATTTTGAGAATGTAGGCAGAGCCATCTGTGTGGCCCGCAGTAGCTCCAACCCATCCCACCCCAGACCTTTTCTAAACTTTAATGAAAAATTTCAAAGATTCTTTCCTTGGCGTTTCGCTTTTTCGTCTCCCCAGCTGCGTGTCACTGTACCCTCTAGTCCTCTCTCTTTCAGACCTGTTGCAAAGTAAGTTGCAGACGTCTGTATACTGTCCCCAAAACGCATATTATTTACTAGAGCTCAATATGTCTTGTTTGTCTTTTGAGGTGAAATGCACGATTCTTAAGTGCTCTTTAAGTCTAAGCTTAATGAGTTTAGACCGACGTGTGCCTGTAAAATCCAGACTCCGGTAAAGACATCGAAGAACATTATCATCACCCCCAGCTGCATACTTTGAACTTAAATTTTGTAGCCATGTATTTTTTCACTTTGAAATCATTTCAGACTTTAAAAATGTTCGAAAAGTAGTGAGTACAAAGAATTCCCATCTGTCCTTTACACAGCTTCCCCATGTTGTAACATCTGACAGAGCCATAGTCCAGGTATCTGTCGGAAAGTTAACGCTGACATGATACTGTAAACAATATACAGACCCAATTTCCATTTTAACCAGTTGTCGCTAATGACCTTTCTCTGCCCCTGGATCCTGCCCAGACTCATACCTGGACTTAGTCACCTTCTCCCCAGTCTGTCATGACCTTGACCCTTTGGAAGAGCATAACGGCCATTAACTCTTTAGAAGAAGTCCCTTAGCCTTGGATCTGTGTCATGTTTTCTCATAGTTAGATTTGAGTTATGCTCTTTGGGCCAGAATCCCACAGGAGTCTGCCTTGGTGCTTCTGGGGCCTCTCGTGAGGCAGCATGTGATGTCAGAAATCTCCCTCCCGGTGGTGCTAACTCTGGTTACTGGTCAAGGCACTCTCTGCCAGACTGCTCTGTGGAGTTCCTACCTTCCCTTCATAGTCCTAAGTGTATTTCAAGGAGACATTTTGAAGCTATGGAAATATCCTGGTTCTTACCATATTTCATCTATTCTAGCATCCATTCAGGAGTCGGCTTTTGAGAAACTTTTTTTTTTTTTTAACATGTCTACTGAACACAGCCAATTTCTCCATTTATTCAGTTATTAATATGGACTCACCGATATTTTACCGTCTGGGCTATAAATCTGTTACTATTATTATTTTATTGTTCAGATTGTTGAGATTTGCCTTTAGGATCCCTTTCAGTTGGCTCCTGTGCCCTTCTGCTCTGATCCCGTTATTGTTTGAGTACTTCTTTATTTAGTGGCACCTCAAGATGTTTCAGGATCATCTTGTACTTCGCTGCTCCAGCCCAGGAATCCACTATTTCTCTAAAGAGCTCTGGTCCCTTTTATTGGAGAATCCCACTTTTTAAAAAACTTGTGTGGTCTCTGACCTGCAGTCATGCTTCTGAATGGCTGTAAATTGTTATATGAGCTTCCAGAGTCTTAAAAAGACAAACTTTGGGGCGCCTGGGTGGCTCAGTTGCTTAAGCGACTGCCTTCGGCTCAGGGCATGATCCTGGAGTCCCAGGATCGAGTCCCGCATAGGGCTCCCTGCTCAGCAGGGGGTCTGCTTCTCTCTCTGACCCTCCTCCCTCTCATGCTCTCTCTCTCTCTCTCTGTCTCTCTCTCAATAAATAAATAAAAATCTTAAAAAAAAAGACAAACTTTACAGGCACTCCGCAGAGCAAAGGGCTGGAGGCCGTGGTGATAGGACACCCAATCCTGAAAGAAAGATGCCTGTCTTACCTGAAGGTGGAGGGCTTTTAGGATCAGCAGTGTTTTGAGGACCTCGTATAAAGCTAGGAGCCCAATCCCTGCCTCCTGGGCGCTTTGAGAGTTGGAAATCTGGCTGCGGTGGTAGCCGCCCAGCTGAGAAACGAGCGCGAAGGGCTCTTGTGCCGTGGAGGGAGGTGCTCGGAAGCAGCAAACAGACGCCTACCTATTGGTGCTCTTCTGGCCGCCCCAGATAAGGACACGGGTTACGGTCAGTAGTGGGACTAGGTGCTATCCTGAGTTCCCTTCCAGTGCTCAAAGGCCTGCAGACACAATGACCTCTCTGATCAATAGCAAAGCAAACCCCTTGCATGTTTGGCTGTGAAGCCTGTTGGCCAGATGTGTCCCAGCAGGCATTGGTGACCCTGTAGGACAGCTATAAAAGGCAGATGCCAAAAAGGATTGACACTTTAAAACCACAGTGTGGCCAGTGCCCTGACATAGTTCCTCCAGGGGTGCAGAACCACTGTGTCCCTGAAGAGCCATCTGTGGGGCTTGGGTGTCCTCTCTCGGCCTTCAGAAGTCACCCCACCCACCAACTTGATCTGGCTTAGGTTGTCATAGCAAGACCTACACTGCCCATCAGTTTTTTATTAAATATGTTGGTAGGGCAATGGGTTCTCCTGCTTATTTTCTAAATTGAAAGTTTTTTATGGACTGTGGGAAAGGTTGGGTTTTGATGGCAGTATCTTTGGTGGCTTGAGGGTCTGTCATTACTTCTAGAATGGTGTCCATGGTAAAATGTGTTGAAAAAATAGGGTGGGAGTCGTGAGGTTAAGTAGAGCAATGTGGTCTTGAAATCATACGGTGACTTTCCCTAGGGATGCCAAAGAGCCAGAGTTTCAGCCAGTAGTGAGCAGTACTGGGGCTTTCCTTGGGGTGAGTAGTCCTAGTGCTGTCTTAGAAGTTGGAGGATGACACGGGAGGGTGTCTGGCCAGCCAGGTGAACACGCCACACAGCACTAAATGAGACCCAGAAGAGCAGAATCCATATCAAGCCCTCAGCTCCTCAAGGACATCGAACAGTTGTAAATCTATGCACACCCAACATCAGAGCACCTAAATACAGTAAGCAGATCCTAACAGATGTGAGGGGGAAGTAGACCACAGTAGAAAAGAGTAGGGGACTTTATTACCCCCACTTTCAGCAGTGGACTGGAGCCACACCAGGGGCTTTTCTGTTTCCATTGGTGAGCAGCCGCTCTGACTAGAGCATGCCTGGAAAACCCAAGACGTGATCTTTGCCATCAGAAAGCTTACCTGCGTGGTCCTCAAAGAGCAAATAAGAATGGAAGAATTGAAAAAATGTTCACGTGGCACAAGAGACTACAGGTCGAGAAGGGGCAAGGTTGTTGAAGGAGGCTGAGCTGTTCTGAAGGGTGCAGGTTCCTAAAGGGGAGGGAGGAGGAGGGAGCTCCTCAGGCAAGGCGGGCCTGTGAGAGCCTGGGTGTCAGGAAACTGAGGCTAGATTAGAAGGCTCTTGGATGCTAAGTCAAGGCCCCTGGATTCCATGCTGTGGAACCTGGGGAGGGTGTTGGCAGTTTGGAAGAGGAGTGGATTGACTACAAGGGAAATGAGTCAGACTAATGACTAGACGTGGGGTTCTGGGGACAAGGACCCAGTTAGGCTACAGAAGATGGCTGTGTGAGCTCTCACAGGGTGAAGGGGTGTGCTGGGTTGGGGATTGGAGTTGACTTTGAGATTGCCAGCTGGGGTGGACCGGGCACAGGGGATGCCCAAGGTTGGGAAGACTTAGTATAAATGAGCTTGTGGAGGTTTCCGAGAGCTTGGACCTGACCTTACCCAGCACAGGTAGGACCTCTGGTAATGACCTATATTAAATACTATGCTTCCTGGGCTAGCTTTGTATTTTTTCAAATTGAAGTAAAAAAATCCAAGCACACACCTAACTATCCCCCTCCTTTTTTTTTTTTTTTTTTTAACCTCAGGTTGACCCCAAAGATTGGCTTTCCATGGAGTGAAATCAGGAACATCTCTTTCAATGACAAAAAGTTCGTCATTAAGCCCATCGACAAGAAGGCGCCTGTAAGTTTCTATGGATTTCAGGCGAGGGGTTACAGTTTTTCATTCTTATAGCCAAATGTGTTTTCAGGATAACCAGATTTCTCTATATGACAAGCACTTGGGGGGAGGGGTATGGAGGGAGTGGGGTAAACGAATTGCCAGCAGGTTACATTGAAGTTCAAGGACCCCTTGAAGTAGAGGTACACGGGGGCCCAGGTGTCCCTCAACAGCTAGATGACTGTGTCCCCTGAGCTTTCAAGTGGTCTTCATTCCTTATGAAGGAAAAGGCAGTTCTGAGTCATTGACCTTTGCCAAATGATAAGCATCTTACGAAATGTTGCATTTCTGGGCTGTGAAATGTTCATGTTCCTGTGGAAAACCAACCTACCTCCAGAAGGTGTACCTGGGGTAAGGGGGCTCACCCCCGCACCTCCCTGGAAGCCAGCTGGGGCACAGACATGATTGCTTACAAGCCTCAAGGGCCAGCATTGGCTTTCAGAGCTGTCTCTGCAGCTTACCCATGTTAGGAAAAGTCAGGCCTGCATCTGGAGCATTGCCGGGCCCTACGGTCCCTCTGTGCCTCACCTTCTCTTCCAAGAATGTTCAACTCTGCTTTCCTCTGACCCCCTCCTGGCCTCTCCAGTGCTCTTTCTGCAGGTGCCTTCTCTTTGGGGCTGATGTGGGAAGTGGCTCCTCACAATGAGGAGGCTGGTGGGGCAGTCTTCCTGGGAGGGCTTGGCTAGAAAAGGGATTTCCATTCCTGGAGTTTGAAGAATCTGGGCTGTGAACTAGTAACTGCAAAGACTGGTGTGTTAACAGAAATTCATTTCAGTTTTATTGATTCTGCTGACATTTAAATTTTTAGCTGATTGCTCAGAAAATTTGACATACATACATACTGTAGTGTGATTGAATGGGTGAGGACTTTGTTTTCTAATCAGAAATCTGATTCTTAAAGAAAAGTGCCATTTGAAGAATAATCTCTTCCTTCTTAGAGGCTGCTATGATTTTTACCAGACTTATAGATTGGAAAGGACTTGGTGTTTTGGTTACGGTGTGGGGCTTAGAGAGGCCAGCGTGGGCTGCAGTTCAGGCCGGGGCCGTCTGGAGCCTTCCGGGGCTGGGGCCCCATGGGGCGAGGGGCACCCCACGTGGAACAGCAAGTGGCATTACTGTCCAAATGCTCCTCCCCACAGGCCAGTTAGTCCGGCGTAAGTGAAAACCAGAACGCTTGACGCTGTTCGTGAAAGTATTTTCTCCTTTACTGAAAACGTCTCCTGCTGTTTGTAAACTCTTGACTTCTACTCCATGGGTAGTTGCACAGTTGTTGACAATTAAAGCAGCATTTAATACAGACTCTGCAGCTCCATGGAAACAGGCCACATTAACATTCAGCACCACAGCCCGGGGGTCACAGTGTACCCACGTTAACGTGGGCCGTGAGATCGGGGCAGCCAGGATAGCAAGAAGATCCTAAGGGTCTTGGCTAGGCTGCTGTCTGCTCACAGGGTGGTGCTCATTTTTCAGAACTTTTTTAGACATGTGACCAACAGAAGCAAGCAGACTGGACTATTTAAGGATTAAGTTGTGTGTGTGTGTTGGCATAAGTTTAGCTTTTGAAAAGCTGCAGAATTTTTCCTAATCTTAAAATTCCAAGCAAAAACAGTTGTAGTGCTTCTGGTTGAATTAGTTGAGCATACTTTTACTAGTTTTATGTGGAGCCATTGATTAAAGAAAACACAAGCTGAGAGAAGCATGTGTTGGTTGTGTACTACGAGTCGAGCTGTATTCTAGGACTGTGTGTGCAGCAGGAACAGAGTGGGCTTCCCACCCTTATAAAGTCTGCATGCTGGTGGAAGAGATGCATGAACACAAGTGATGTGCTTTCTGGCTGTGACTTCCACAGTGCAGCTGTATTTAATCACCCACCAGGATGAGGCGATGAGAGGCGGGGGGCAGTGTGGGGTGGGTCGCGAAAGTATTTTCTCCTTTATTGAAAACGTTCAGATGGTTGGGTCAGGAAGGCCTGACCAAGTGAGCAGAAGTCGTTGTCAGACTCCTGTCGTGGAGGTGGGGGTTCCACACGTGGAGCTGGTTTGAGGGAATGAGTCCCCATGGCCCTGTGCACCTCGCCAGGCTCGCTCTGTTCCTTCCTTCCTCTATGGCATTTCCCGGGTTCAGGCTTTGTACTTGGGGCGGCAGAAAGTCACATTTCCAAGTTTAAACTATCTCCGCAAGATGGACAGGGAAACCCCAAAGGTCCGAGTTGGCTCATAGGTGAGGCTTGGGATTCCTTTTCTCGGGCTGACTTTTGTGGAGGGCACCCCGACGCTGGGCAGTTTCCATGGCAAGCTCACAAATGAGCCATTGTCCTGGCATGCTCCCGATGACCAGGCATTTCCCGTAGAAAAGCCAGTTTCTCCTCCTGCCAGCTTGGATACTGCGGGGATGGGGCCTGAAACACTGAATCCTCTAAGCCTGCCCGGTAGTCCTGTGTGGGGTTAAAACAGCTTTGTCTCCTTCAGAAAAGAGCCTTTTGTTCCTGCGGCCTCATGGAAGCTGGAGAAGGCTCTTGGGCAGCTACCTGTTTAACAGCTTATAAGAACTGCCATATCCCTGGGAGCAGCCCTGCCCTCAGCCCAGGGGAGCCCCAGGGTGGGGCCTGGTGGGAGAGTGTCCTAGAGGCTCCTAAGCTTGTTGTTCGACAACTTTATGGCTACTTTTCCATCTCCTTTTCTCTCGTATTCTTAGGGACTTGGATTCATTTCCATGAGCTTTCCTCTTGCCTCGAGTTTCAGTTTTTAAGATCTGTCTCTGCCAGAGTTTAGACAGCCTGCCCCACATCTCCTCGGTGTTGTGGTTTTGCATTAGGAGGCTTGGGCTGGGTACTCGGACTTAGAAATCCTTAAGTAAATACTGGTTTCAGTTTTTGTTTTTACCCTGAAGCCTGAGACTAGGCAGCCCAGGAAATGGCCTCTGCCTGCTGCTTTCGCTGTCCCCAGCCATGTGCAGGCCTTGTCTTGGGCCCACCGGCTGCGGTGATGTACTTGCAGCGTCTGCCCTTGATGGTTTTTAAACTGACCTTGTTCTAAGGAGGAGTTGGTGCTAATCAGAGTTCCTTTGCAATGCTTAGGAGCCACAGCCAACACCTAACGTGGGTAGCACGTCTGTGTGGCCATAACAAAAGATTGTTTTCTCTTACGTAATAGAGGCGGTGCTTCTCCCCGCTCTGCAGACGCTCCCTGGCAAACGCGATGACTTAATAACGAGTGTGCGAAAGCTCCACCTAGGAACTCCGTGGGCTCGCGGCTTTGACAGTACTGTCTATCCAGCATTTCTGGAACTGATGAGAAAACTGAGAAGCTACGTAGGGCCTTCTGGGGTGTGTTGGTTAGCTCCCTGGCGTGTCCTTTCTGGTTTCAGACGTCGCTGTGGAACACGTCACACTGTTTCTTTGTTTCAGCCACCCTGCCCCTGTTCCAGAGGTCAGAATCTGGATGCCAGGGGCCCCAAGCTGAGAAGAGAAAGGGAAAAAAGAGGAAGCAGACTGGCATTTTATTTTTATTGATTGATTGATTTTTTAAAGATTTTATTTATTCATTTGACAGACACAGCGAAAGCGGGAACACAAGCAGGGGGAGTGGGAGAGGGAGAAGCAGGCTCCCCGCCGAGCAGGGAGCCCGATGCGGGGCTCAATCCCAGGACTCCGGGATCATGACCTGAGCCGAAGGCAGACACTTAACCCACTGAGCCACCCAGGCACCCCGCAGACTGGCATTTTAAAATAACTTTTAACAAGAGTTTCTAAACCCTCTCTCCTCTCCCATCCCCTGCATTAATCGCAGCAGTAGCAAGAACTAGGACGCAAGGCCGTGTGCCGTCCCTGTCCCACGTCGCAGACTTATACAGCCACAGTCCTAAGGTTCTCGGATGCCTTGGTCTGTTCTGTTCAAGAAGGCTCTTCCCTAGGAGGCTCTTCCCTAGCAGTTTTGTCAGGCAGCCAGCAGTCTGTGAGTGAGCCTCCTGTCCCGCTGACAGTGTCTGAGTTAATCCTCGCAGCAGTCCTGTTAGATTACTGTCCTCCCCACCATGCAGCTGAAGGTGTTCAGATTCCAAGGAAGTGACTCGCTCAAGGTCACAGGCTTAGACGTGGCAGTGCTCTGTAAACTCCAGCACCCAGTAAATCCAGGCCATTTGTTGGGTCCCGGGGATAGAGAGATGAATGAACACAGCCCTGCTGTCGGGGGAGGTGCCCGTCCAGGGGAAGGTAGAGACCAAACCAGGTGCATCAGCGGACATGCTGGCTCCCCCGTGGAGCACAGGGGGCACAGGAGGTGTGCTGGTTAAGCCGGAAGCAGGAGCACTCCAGACAGGAGCCTCCGTGCCATCTCCTCGGGTCTGTGGGGTTGGACAGGACATCCCAAGTAGCAGGGCTGCTTTGAGCAACTAAGTTGGCGGGCACGCAAGTGCAGTTCAGATGCACAAGGGGGAGGCGGGGGCTGCGGGGCCGGACTCCGCACACGTGCCCAGCCACGGCGTCAGTACCTGGGCCTGGAGCTAACCAGGCTGGCGTCAGGTGTTCGCTAGCGACCCGATGGATGCACTGGTGGCCGTGTGGGAGGCCAGGGTTGAGGCAGAGGAGACCAGAAGCTCAATTAGAAGTCGCTGCACCTCAGGCAGGACTGGGGGATGGTGGTTCTCTGGCTGGTGGGGCCAGAGGGTGTCAGCCTGAAGACCAGGCAGCGCTGGGCCTCGGTCCCGGGTTTCCCAAGGCTGTAAGACCTCTTGCCTCAGAGAAGCTTTACCGTCCAGCCGGAGAGGTTTCAGGGTGTGTGCACACGCATACCCACAAAGACACACAGTTGCTCTGTTTGTCCCAGAGAATCCAAATCCCATGGCACCAGGAACTTTCTGTCCCGTCATTTGGAGTCAGTGGCTTTTCCTTGAAGTCCCTTTCTGGCCCCGTACTCTGCTACATTTGTCCTTTTAGAAAAGGTCATCTAGAACTTTGTGAATTCGGGTTTGGAAGAAGAAAGCCAAAGGAAAGTGTTCCTCCTGCTTAGAGTCCACCCTGTTCTGTTCTGTAGGACTTCGTGTTCTATGCCCCCCGCCTGCGCATTAACAAGCGGATCCTGCAGCTCTGCATGGGGAATCATGAGCTGTATATGCGCCGCAGGAAGCCCGACACCATTGAGGTGCAGCAGATGAAGGCCCAGGCCCGGGAGGAGAAGCACCAGAAGCAGCTGGAGCGGTGAGTGGGGTGGAGGCCAGCAGGACGGGGCGGTGTTCTCCCAGACTAGATGGCCCTGCCTGCGCTGTTCTCCATCAGAGGCGCCAAGGGAACATAACCTAGCGAACACGGGTGGAGCCTCAGGGGGCGAGGACCTTCAGAAGTTACTGCGTGGGGCCCAAGGACCCGTTCAGGGAGCTGCCTCCTGAGTCCATACCATCTGGAGGTGGGGCCTGCACTGGGCACTGGTGATGCGTGTTGACATGGCAGGTGTCTGCCAGCACCTAAACCTTCCTGCACCGCCCCTCGCCCTGTAACAGGCAGCAGCTAGAGACCGAGAAGAAGAGGAGAGAGACCGTGGAGAGAGAGAAGGAGCAGATGATGCGGGAGAAGGAGGAGCTGATGCTCAGGCTGCAGGACTACGAGCAGAAAACCAAGAAGGCAGAGAAAGGTGGGTTTGTGCCCAGTGCTTATGCATGCAGGGGTGCATTCCGCAGCGAGGAGTAGATGGACCGTCAGCACACCCACAGCCAGGAACGTCTCAGCTTAACACAGCACCCACAGGAGAGACTCGAGGCTGAGAGCTGACCATGGGTGTTTGGATTAGAAGATAATCTTTTGATTATCTTGATACTTTTGATGCTGTGCTGGTTCTGTGCTAAATGCTTTATGCACATTTTTAAATTTTCCCTCACTCCTTTGAGGTTAGTACTGAGTCATCCCCATATTCCTGATGACGATGTTAAGGTTTAGCAGGGAAATTAATCTGCCTGACGTCGCACAGCCAGTGAGTGCCCAAACCATGCTACGATGCCTCCTGTCTTATAAACTAAAAACTGGGCGAGTGGTATGGTTTCTGCATGTCTGCCAACCTACTCCAGCCCTGGCCAGGGGAGGGGGAAACCCTCCCTAGCAGTTTCTAACTGCCGCAAGGATGTTGTCTATGTGCACAACAGGGAACGCACCGCAGTGGGCTTTCCTCTGTGTCCGTAGAAGCAGAGGCCCCCCATGCAGTGCTTTGTAGCTTGTGCTGTGAGTCCCACCCTGGACCCCATGCCAGGCATCCAGGCTGGGAATTCAGGGCCCTGTGCTCTCTCCAGAACTCTCAGACCAGATTCAGAGAGCCCTGCAGCTGGAGGAGGAGAGGCAGCGTGCCCAGGAGGCAGCTGAGCGCCTGGAGGCAGACCGCATGGCCGCTGTGCGGGCCAAGGAGGAGCTGCAGAAGCAGGCCGCAGATCAGATGAAGAGCCAGGAGCAGCTGGTAGGGCTCCCGGAGTCGCACGGTGCTGAATTACCGAGAGGCTGCCCCGGGGGGCCAAAAAGTGACACCTGCCTTATAATGGTGTCGGGGACTGTAAGATGATCTGCTCGAGGGAGAAAAAAGCCTGGTGGGAGGGGCTGTGCTGGTGGTGGGGCCTCAGGCGGCCCTGGTGCAGCAGTCCGGGGGGCCAGACATGGAGGCATGGTCTTGAGGACACCATGGGTGGGCAGCCATGGGCACTGCTGACTGGGGAGGAGGTGGGGACGAGGCCCAGCACCAAAATATGTGGCTGTCCATTTGCAAAAGGGCTCTCCCCAAAGACCCCAGAAATCATTTCCGCTTCGTGCCCTTCACCAGGCCGCAGAGCTAGCCGAGTACACAGCCAAGATCGCCCTCTTGGAGGAGGCCCGGCGGCGCAAGGAGGACGAGGTCGAGGAGTGGCAGCACAGGGTGAGTCTGCAGGTGCAGGCGCTCGGGCGGGGAAGACAGCCTGGGGCCAGGCTGGGGGGTCGCATAGGAAGGCTCGGGATGTTGTGCAATGTTCTGCCAATCCCAGCTGTGCTGCTTAGGCTGAAATCCCCATAGGAATGGGCTGCTCTGTGCACTGGGGAATCCACTGTTGGATTAGCAGGGAACAAGGAGCCTCTTGTTCATTTGCACCCACTTGTTCTGGCCACCCCAAGCTGTTGAGCCCCATCAGGCAGCCCCCATCAGGAGCTAGCTTTAAATCTGGTCACGTGGGTGCTCCCAGCGACAGGCCACAGCACCTCAAACAAGACCTCCTACCTCTCCTGACCACTGGTGTATGCAGCATGGCACCATGGAAAGATCTGGAATTGGAGGTGTCGAGACCAGGGACAAGGCTTCCAACTCTGCTCTCATCCACTGTGTATGGGGCAAGTGTCCTGATCTCTCTGAGCCCCCGTTTCCTTGTTAGAGATGAGGAGTAATAGCTACCCTATAAGGTTGCTCTCAGGACCACCCTGCGGAGAGGTTGAATAAACTGTAGCTGTAATAGGGAGACCCATGTTCCAGTGCAGTGTCCAGAGAGCCTTTCTCTCCAGCTGAGCCCCCACGCCCACCGGGAAAGCACGGTCCCCAGGGGAGTTTGGATATGTTCAGTGTAGAGCTCTGCCAAGCTGTGGCAGCCCCCCACCCCTCCCACCTGTCCTTGCCCATGCTTCCCCATCTGCACTGGCCCCTTCTGGGGACACCTGGGGCCTCTCCTCACCCCTCTTAAGCCCCGCCCCCTGAACACAGGCTGTGTGCAAAAGACTTCGTTCCGTCCTTAGGTTTTTGGAGAAAGTGTTCATTGAGAAAAGCTGGTTGCAGAACAAGTTCAAACTAAGCTCATCTCCGGGGTTGGAATGGCGGTGAGGTGGGCATGACTGGGGATGTGTACCCAAGAGAAGTTGCTGGAAGGCTCAGGGGTCACAGCAGGTAGGAAAGTGCTTGAGCACTGTGCCAGGCAGCAAGGAGCCTGATAAATAGTGGCCACACAAGGAAAGAGAATAAGGCTGTACTCTAAAACGGGATAGTGGCATTTTCTCGTGGCTGGAGGATTTTTGTTTAATAATTTCCTTTTTTTTTTTTCTTCAAAAACACCTACAGTGAACATACACTAGAATTAGAGACAGAAAAAAAAAGTTATGGTTCTTTAAAACGTCCCTGACATGACCTTCCCTCTTTGTGCCGAGAGCACAGCTGAGAACTGATCACAGGATCCAGAGCCCCGGACTCGGAAGAAGTGGGGCAGATCCTGCGTGGGGATGCTTTCTCCTCAGCCACGCCCCCCCCCCGCCGAGGGCGCACGCGTCCAGCCCGCCCGGGAGAAGGCAGGGGACTGGTGAGAGAAGGTGCCGAAGCCTTCTCGTCATTGAAAAGGGGCTTCCCCCGAAAATGGTCTAAACACTGGGTTCTGTGTACGGATTGCTTTCAAAGGCTAAAGAAGCCCAAGATGACCTGGTGAAGACCAAGGAGGAGCTGCACCTAGTGATGACAGCCCCCCCGCCCCCACCGCCCCCCGTGTATGAGCCGGTGAGCTACCACGTGCAGGACAACCTGCAGGACGAGGGCACGGAGTACACGGGTTATAGCGCCGAGCTCTCCAGCGAGGGCATCCTGGATGACCGCAATGAGGAGAAGCGCATCACCGAGGCCGAGAAGAACGAGCGGGTGCAGCGGCAGCTGATGGTGAGGGCGCCGGGGTGGGGGCGGCCCGGGCAGGGGTCGGGGGGAGCCGTCCCACCCAGCTCCCCGCTGCTCCCGGGCCACACCTGACACGAGCTGCTTCCCCTTGCAGACCCTGACCAGTGAGCTGTCCCAGGCCAGAGATGAGAACAAAAGGACCCACAACGACATCATCCACAACGAGAACATGCGGCAAGGCCGGGACAAGTACAAGACGCTGCGGCAGATCCGGCAGGGCAACACCAAGCAGCGGATCGACGAGTTCGAGGCCATGTGAGGCCTGGCCAGGACTGGGGCCCGGGGCGGGCGGGGGTCGCGGTCCATCTCTGAAGCTGGTGTTTGTAGTTCTTTGAATCTAGGACCCCCACCTCCCCCCCACCCCCCGTCATATTCCAGTTCCTTTAAAAAGAGAGTAGTTATTGCAGTGGGACTATTCTGGGGCTGGGGTCACTGGAAGCTTCCCTAGTTTATTTTTCCCAATTGTATCATAGTGCCAAACAGGCCTGATTTTTTTTATTGCTGTTATTGAATCGCTTCCTGTTTGTGCTTGCAGCAGGACTGACTGAATTAGGAACGATGCCTGTAAGTCTGAGTAACAAACTTGATGCTGGTACGTGAGACACGAGGGTCAGCGTCAGTAAAACCACATCGTGGCTTCTAGTCCGTGCCATACTTTCTTCTGCATTTGAAATTAGCTCAGATTTTGATTTCCATGAAGGATCCATCTTTGTGTATTTATGTTTTGAGAGGTGAAAATTCTTTTGAAGACAGTCTAAAGCACTCACACACACATGCACACAGTGATTTTTCTTCTCTGCTCCTTCAGTTCAGGATCAATAGTGCAGGGAGGACACTCCGGCCTTGGATAAACTTCTGTTGGTTTTGGGGGGTTTTCTTTTTTTTGCTTAACAGAGGGCCACATTGTTGGACTCACACCTAATTAATGATCAGCTGTAGAGAAGAGTATTTATATATAAGTGACAATATGGGTTTGTAACATTAGTTTAAAAAAGGGAAAGTTTCATTCTGTATATTTTGTTACCTTTTACAGAATAAAAGAATTACGTATTAAAAACCCTGTTACCATGGCACTTGATCTGACGTGAGGGCAGTAAGGAGGTGGCTTAACCGCTGTAATCACATCTGTAAAAATGACTTTTTTTTTTTTTTACTTTGAGTGCCCTTGTGCCTGTCTTGTGCCTGTAACTGCGCATTTCAGTTTTCTCTCCGAGCTTCCTTGAAAAAGACACATGCTGTTTGGCTCATCCAGACTCCCGCTATAGAGGGACTCTTCCCACCTGGTATTGTCTGTTTCCACAAGAAGAACCTGCTCTGACCTCGCCAGTTCTCTCCCGCGTCCTTGAAAATCTGTCGAAATGTCAGCTCTCACACTCCACCGGCTCGTCGTCCTGCTCGGGTGGGAGCCGTGTGCAGGTGAGCCCTGCGCCCCAGACCTGAGAAATAAAAGCTGTGCAAGATGAGAGGCGGCCATGGCTGTGTACGGGCGTGCGTCGGGGGCACGGGGTGCCCCTCCGGAAAGCAGAACCGGGCTCTAGTTGTCCTTCAAATGCATATAACAAGGCAGGGCGTTTATTGAAACGTTTATTGAAATCTGGCCGTTTTCCACGTGTCTCAGAGCACAGAAAACCAAACAGACCTATTGATACAATAGCAACAAGTGCTGTACACAGGGATGTGGAAGAACGTGCAGGCTCCGGGACAGCGCTGCCCACGGCGAGTGTCCCTGCCCACGGCCTCAGCTAACCGTCAGGCCTGCAGCACTAAACTCTCACCACAGACTGGAACCCTGGCTTCAGTGCAGGATGAGTGTCAGGTCTGTCCACAGATTGGGGCTAGAAAGAACTTTCTGCCACTGACGCTCTGACGGTGAGCCTGAGTCCTCACCACCAGCTCCGGCTTCCTCTGTGATGGGAGTGAAGTGACTAATTAGTAATAGGTGATACGCATAACCCCTTAACAGCCCTCTTCTCAGCTTTTTAAAATGAGGACCAACTTTTTTAAAAAGTGTTTTTAACCTCCAGACCACATGAAAATGCCAACCACTGCTGAGGAAGAGCAAGACCACCTCCACCCCAACACCATACTCAGAGCTGGACACACTCAGGCATTCATTCCTAAATACTGTGCAGCCTCAAGAGCCCAAAGCTGCCTTCTTCCCCATAGTTTGAGAGGAGAAGACATGTTTGCGGGGGGGGGGTGTCTTCAAGAAGGGGACTCGACAGTCTTAACACATTACGATGGGTGTGCTTTGGTGGGGTGGCCTCAGACCGGGGGCCAGATTTGCAGGCAGACAGGACGCCCTTATAGGAAGGGGAGGGTGTGTCCGTGGACAATATTCCTTCTATGTTTAAAGATCTACCCGTTTATTTTAGAAGGAGAGCACAAGCTGGGGGAGGGGCAGAGGGAGACAAGCGGACCCAGGGCTGGATACCAGGACCCTGAGATCAGGATCTGCGCTGAAATCAAGAGTTGACGCTCAACCGACTGAGCCACCCACAGGCGTCTCGGGACAATGTTCCTTTTCGTGGAACAGTGAATCTGGTTCAGAGGTCCTAGAGGTGTGTGCCCGTACTTTTGGTTGGCACAGTGAGGGGCACCACTGGAGGGGCCAGGGTGTGCAGCCCTCCCCACGAAGGGCTGTCCCCCACACTACGCCACCAGCACCCCAGTTGAGCAATGCTGAGAAGCACTGCCCTTTTGTCCCACTCCCTCTGTTTGGATTAAGGTATTTTCCTTGAAGAAGTTAATCCTTTTATGACTGATGCCGGAAACAAAGCAAATACTGTACCCAGCCCATTTTGAGGCCTGTAATTTTTGTTCCTTTAGCAGATCTAAATCTGATATAAATTGTTGAAATACTTGGCTGTATTACCGCTCCCTTGCAGAGTAAGAACTAGATGTCGCAATCTCCATTTAACAGTGAGGCCATTTCCAAGCTAGTTACATCACCTGCCAATGTGGAAGCATAATGGGCTTTTTAGTGGTCACCGTGTAAGATCTTCGCTAAGGATAAAGCATACTACTTAGGCCCAATAAATCTCTCAGACTTACTAGAACCGAGCCAGGCTTCCCCCAGCAAGCGGTCGTTCACACCAAAGATGGCCTGGTCCCAGACGGTTAATGCCAGGCTTGACTGTCTCAGCTGGGAAGGGCTCACGCCATTGAACACGAAGGAGTGCTTCCACTGGGGACAAGCTTGCTTCTTCGCAACTGGGGACTTCAGTTTCAGTTTGTGTTGGTCTGGCAGAGTGAGACAGCTGCAGGAGGGAGAGACACTGGCTCTGGACTGCCGGCCCAGCCTCCGCCCCTGGCGGCGCCGGCCATCGTGAGACCAAGGGCTAGATCCGCCCCCAAAGAAAAATGCCAAGCCGGGAGCAAGAACGTGAATCGCAAGATTGGCCACGTGACCTCTCGCTAGGATGTTCCAGAGTTAGGGCTGAATTCTGCACCAGATGCGAAGGGTCCTTTGGGATTCCAGGCCACATGGCCCTTGCCTTAATCCCCCTCCTTGGGAGGCCGACCACCAGGCAAAGCATGGCTTTTACACTTGCTACCCAGGGACCAGGACTCTGCACACATACTCTCTCATTTTAACCCAGTTCTCAGGAGACAAGTTCAGAAGGGCCACGTAACTTGCCCAAGGTCCTACGATAATGGCAGCTTGAGGACAGGAACACAGATCTTGGCATGGTAAGCCAGTGTTTCCCATTATGTCCCTGACCCAGGGATGCAGCAATTCTGTATAATAATTAATGGTGTTTGCTTTGCTTTTGGACACACCGACACACTGGTAGTGACTAAGAATGACAAAAGCAGAGCCCACCTGACTGTTAATCCAAGAGATGGGAAGGCAAGGGAATAGTACCAACCACACTGCTTTTTCCAAGCTGTTTGAGTCAGAAAATGCTGATGTAACAAGAACCAATAAAATACGGGTTTCAGGTTAAAATACAGTGTTCCACATCTAGCCTCAACAGGTCCAAATCCCATGAATTCTTGGAAATCAGTCTTGAACACATTACGTTGGATTTTCACGGGAAAGCTAAAATACAAGTTCAGAATGGCTTACACTTCCTGGTGTTTGCTGGAGTTTCTAAGACCATGCCACATGCATGTACAGATTATCAGTAAACAATTGATTAAATACTTACCCCTTAACAAATGAGTTTAGGGTACCATCTGACCGCACGGGCAAATTCTTGGCTCCCAGCACGACCAAACAAAGCTGACCGTTCGGGGATGGCCAATCTGTCCCTGGAAGAAAAGCCGGCATTTGCTGTGAGCCCTACTTCACAGAGCATCAATGCCACCACCCCAAATCTGAAAGCTCAGCGGGAGGGTGTGTGACGGCCTGGAGAGCCCAAGACAGCAGACGGGAAGAGGAGCGTATCCAGGTGGGAAGGCTCAGCTGGCCCTGCAAATGTGCCGTCCCACTGCAAGCCAGCACGGTGACAGAAGGAAGGGCTCACTAAAATCCTGGGACGCTACAAAGATAAGAAAGGGATCCAAGGAGAGGAAGGATGCAGAGGTTGCAGTCAAGTGCGGGCAGTGGTTTTGGGGAAAGTAAGGGCCCTAAGACTTGGGTTCTAGGGCGCTGGCAATGACTGCAGATGCCGGTGGCCCTGTGAGCTCTGGAAGCAGACTTTTCCCTCTTCAGGCAAATAAGAGACCGCTAACTACATGACAGAATTATGTGTTCTTTCTTCACCCTCCTCTCTCTGTACGCTCCACTTTATTTCACTTAGTTAGACCTCCCATAAGGTCCTCGAGAGCCTGTCCTTGATGCCTTCTCTTGCTGGGCAACAGCTCACAGAACTTGGGAGCAGGGGTGCATTCACTGGGCCCTGCAGGCCCCAGCACCTCGAGATGCACTCTTGGTTCCCAAGGAGCCACACTCCCAACTGTAACGCAGGTGGGCATAGGAGCATTCCCTCTCCCAGAGGGGCGGCAGTGGGACGGTTCACACCAGGGAGACGGTCCGCGCCAGCCCCCTGGGAGGAAAGCCCCAGAGCTGGTGTCCTAAGAGCCATCCCTGTGCAGTGGGCATCAGAGGCCTGGCCTGCTCTGCTTCCTCATTTCCCTTCCAAACCACAGGTTCCAAGAATCCATGTTCCACGCTGAGCTTCACAGATCTTGGAAAGTTACTGGAGCATTGCAGGATTAGTGGGTGGCAGAAGGGAAGTCCTCAACCCACCTGCTGCTCCAGGCTTTGGAAACAGTGACCGATGAACAGTCATGGGGCTGGAGGCCACCTACCTTCTTGGGCCTCCTGGAGCTTTCTGGGCCCTGCAGGGAAGACCAGTTTGGCCCGGACTGCAAGTTCTCCATTACTGGGAAGAATGCTGTCTTCAAGTTTCTCTGCCTGGGGGCAAGAGACAGAACTCAAGAGGCAGGATTTCTCAGCCCCCAGAACCTTCTGGGCTCCTCTGATTGCCCCAGCTCTGTCCATAAGTGCCCCACCTCCAGCTCCCCCCCCCCCCACTCACCCCTGCAAAGCCTCTGCAGGCTGGGGAGTGCCCTGGGGTGGAGTGGACAGGCCCATGGCAGGGCTGGTCACTCTTCCATCTGTGGTGACTCTCCATTCCCACCCCATGCCTTGAGGAGGTGAGAGGGCTCAAAGGCCCTGGCACGTTCCCACAGGATAGTCCTCAGAAAACCTACACACAGCCAGAGTGTGAAGAAAGGGGATAAAGCTGAGCCCCTCTAGGTCAGTGGACTCGGCGAGGACTCCTAGGAGAGGCGGGGCCGGCCCGTCTACTCCGCAGTGTCTCTTCATGGGCTCCTGGCTGCCTCCCCAGAAGGAGGCTGGCCCTCGGGTGCCAGACGAGATAAAGCTGCCTCCACCCTCCACTTCTGGAAACCTGCACTAACCCCTCGGGCGGCTGCTGTCAGGGCCGAGGGGGCAGGCCTGGAAGCAGGGTACGCCCAATCCAGCCAGGGGGGTCACTATCAGCTGGTGTTAGGAAGGACATCCTTTAGCCTGGCACCCTCTACGCCTCTTCCTCTCGCCAGCAGCCTTGGTGGCCACTAGTCTTGTCCCGAGCGAGGCTCTAGAGGGAACAGATGGGCGGATCCTGGGGGAAAGCACACTGGCAGGGAAAATCATGAAAAATGAAAATCAGGAAAGCCTTCATGGAGGAGGTGGGATTCCGGCTAAGTCTTGGGCAGACCGTGGCTAGAAGAAAGCATTCCAAGTAGACATCCCAAGTGGATGCCTGAGGACGGGCTCTGAGAAGGGTGAGCACGGGTGCGGGATGCGGATGCCGGGGCCATGCTGAGCAGTGTAGAGGAAAAGGGGCAGGAGAGGTGGGACAGGGCGGCCCCCAGGCGGGAGACCCTTGGCTTGACCCGACAGTAGTCGGAAATCCGAGAGCCGGCCAGTCAGCCCCCCTGGCTTCAGAGAGGCCCGGGGAGGTGAGAGCGCACAGAACCTGGCCCAGGCCTGGGAAAGCCTCAGCCTCGGGGCCAGACTCTGGCTGCTGGGACTGGCACAGCGTGGTCATTTCTTAGGAGATGAAGGAGCCCACGCTTCCTCCGCCCCTATTATCTCAGCCGTCCCTGGTCCCCTCTCCCCTCTGTGCTTGGATCTTGGCACAGAGAGTGCAAAGCAGTTGCTCCAAGAAATGCAGACTTTCTTCCCCAGGCTCTCCTCTTAGTGGCACAGCCTGCGAGCGGGCCTCCTCTCCGGGCCGCCCCCGCGCCCTGCCCTGAGTCCCTGCAGGTCGGGGCAGCCCCGGCCCTCCTGACCACATCGGGCCACCGCTCTCGGCCGTTTCTGCTCTGGGAGCGCCTGGGGCAGGAGTGCAGAAGCCACAGCCGGGCCCGCACGACTGGGGGCAGGCTGCTGGGCGCATGTGGTCACCTCCGGCCGCAGGAGCAGCGAGCCCAGGGCTCCCGGGCTGAAACCAAGTGACCCTGAATTTGGGGAGGGGAGCATGTGGGCCCACAAGGCCATCACAGGAGGCCCAAACCCCTAGACCTGACCCAGGCTGATGTTCAGGCTACACTGAGGAAGGGGCTCTCAGGTAGTTGAGCAAACCCGAGCAGGGAAAGCTCCCTACCCCACCCAGGAGAGCCTGACGTGGAGCCTTTCCTCCCCGGGAAGTTCCTATTGAAGAGCCCCAGCAGGCAAGCACGTGGTGGTGTCTTGGGTCCGAGGCTTCCCGGGTAGGTTTTCTCTTCCAGAACCCCTTTGAAAAGGGAGTTTTGTTTTCGTGGTGGGGGTAGGGTAGTCCAGTCCCAAACCAGACCTCACCTTGGCCCTCAGTGGATACCAGCAGAAACACTGTGTTGTGCGGTCTTCGAAGTCCCATGTGGCCAGAGGGATGGTCACCTCTCCAAGAAACACCCTCCGGGTGAGCATGCCCAGGTGCCACACAGAGACCTGCAGCCACCGGGTCCCCAGCTGGCCGGGCTCCACCTGGTACTGCAAAGACAGAGCAGAGGCAGTTGGTCTGGGTTCCTGGCCCACATCTCCCCAAGCCCACAGCTTCCAGGGACCCAAGCTTCCGGAGACCCACAGCTTCCGGGGACCTGGGCCACAGGGGCCTTCCTCCTGCAGGCTGGAGCATCTTGGTGTGGTCAGGGTGGGCTGGGCAGCTTGGAGCGAGGGTGGGGGGTGGTCTCTGCTTTCTCAAACACAGAACCACCTCCTCCACCAGCCATGTAGCCAGCACTCAGCCTGGGGGGAAAGGCTGGGCAGCTACAGAGTCCCCCTCCCACAATCCAGATCTGCGCCCCAGGCAAGGAGGGAAGGCCCCATCCAACTGAAGCCAAGATCTGTCTCAGCTCAGGAACTGAACTTGCCTGGCCAGGGTTGTTCAAAGATACTGAAAGCTAGGAATTTTTTTTTTTTTTTTAACATAAACCTGAGTTTTTAGCATGGGCTTTTGCCTAGACGGACGATGCCAGGCCTGTCTGGTGCTCAGGGTCACACAGAGCTGTTTCTTCACTGGCCCCCACAGGAGCTTCAGCACAGCCAGAGGACAAGAAAGTCTGCCCCCCACCCCCGTTCCAGCCGACGGTGGGCCCCTGCCCCCACGGGGACTAGAGGCCAAAGGCCCTGGGTGAGAGGGCCCCGGCCCCTTCCTGAAGGCCAGGACACAGCCAGGCTTCCCAAGAGCCGCTGACTCCATTCAGCCTCTGTGAGCCTGTTCCAAGCCTATTCGTTGGATTTTCTCAATAATGAAAAAAAAAGGTTACACTTTACTGAGCCCTTGTTCTGCGCCAGGCCTTTGGTTACATTGCTCCTTAGCTTCCAGGAGCGTCCCCTGAGGTCAGTGTTAGCGATCACCCGACCCGTTTACAGGGGAAACGCCCACTCGGCAGCTCCCTGCTGGGGTTGGCGTCCTGGCTCCTCCCGGGACCGCCTGTCGCACGGCCAGGCCTCACCCCCACTTAGAGTGGCCGCCTTGGTTTGCCTGAGACCCATCTGCACACCGTTCGTGCCCATCCACTGGTGGCCAAGAGGGGAGCGACACGGGTATGTGCAGCAGTCGTAACTTGTCTCCCTCGGTCTCCCCAACAGGGACGCCCGCAGCCGCGTCTGCCCTGCCCCCCCCCCAGGCCGCGAACACCCCCTCGGGGCCAGGCTGCCTGCCCCACTTGCCCCTCCTTTTCTTCCCTCTGGGATTATCCGTGCCCATTGTGGTCAGAAGCCACATCCCTCTACGCCCTGGGCTGATTTTCAGTCGGCTTCCCTCAAGTCCATGGTCCATTTCTTTTTTTTAATCTCTTTTTCTTTTTAAATATTTTATTTTTTTTAAGTGATCTCTACACCCAACGTGGGGCTCGAACTTACAACCCTGAGATCAAGCGTCGCCCGCTCCACCGTCCGAGCCAGCTGGGCGCCCACGGTCTGTGTCTGACTCTGCCCTCAGAGTCACCCAGTCTGTCTCGTTGTCCCCTTCACGGCCACACGGCCAGTCAGTTGCCAAGGCTGCCAGCTCCCGGCGTTGCCCCTGTTCCCCTGAGCATGGACTGTCCTAGGCGGGCAGCTGCCTGTCGCCCACGGTCACCCCCTCGGGCGGCGGCATCCTCCCCATCCACCCCGTGCAGGGGGCCTGCCTCTCAGGGGTCCTCGCACACGGTGGCCCCCCGCCAACAACCACGACTCCTTCCGGTTGACCCAATCCCTTTTTGGAAAGAGACCTTTTCCCCGGCGCCCTGGTCCACCCCTAAGGCGGTCCCAGCAGGCTGGGTGGCTGCCCCGCCTCTCCTGAGCACCCAGCCTCAGACACAGACCCCAGATCCGGTGTGGCGTGGCACCCTCCCAGGCCCCCTACGGTGGTCTTCCCGTGGAGCGCCTGCCTAGAAAACCTGGAGGATCACTTTCTAGACTTTAGACGAGATGAGGGACGTGGCTTCTCTTCAATGTACCTGGGAAGTTTTCCGGGACAACCGAAATATCCACAATACATTGGGTAAAAACCAATGGATAAAAATTGGGGGCGATTTCTTTGAGATTCTGCCTGCACGTTAAATCAGGTAGTTAAAACTTTAAAAAATCAAACTATATAATATTTAAAATATACTCAGTCCTCATCTTCGCCTCATTTCATAAAATGTGAACTATTTGTTTACCTGTTTAGTACAAAACACCTTAATTAAACTTACGATGAGTGATTTTGGATATGAACTTAAACTGTCTGAGGGGGCACGGAGCTTTTCAAAACTCTTTCAGCAGATACGGAGCAAAACTACGCCAAGACCCGTGTCTACTGACTTGCTACCAGAGGGCGTCTCAGACGGGGATCCCTTGGATACCACCCACACCTGCTGAATCATAGTCTGTTTTTTAGAAAATCCTCTGGGGGAGTCCCATGACCATAAATCTTGTGGAGGAATGCCAGTCCATCGTGAGTTAGAGCTGTAATTCTGAATACTCTCTAAGCCTTAGTTTCCCCGTTGGTAAACGAGGATTCTAATAGCTCAGGTCACTTGGCCACAGCAGGGACACAGGAAACAATGGTTTTTATTATTTAACAAATGGAGCTCCTGCCAACTGGCCAGACGGTCATTGGCTGGAGTTCAGAAATGCCCCTACTTGCCAAGGAAGGCAAACCAAGCCCTCTCCTTGTGCAAGCTTGACATGTGGGGTCCCTGGGCTGCCCAGCCTTGACTGGGTTCATCCCTGCGCATCTGGATGGTTCGTCCAGTGCAAAGCCTCCCACACCTAGCTCTCGGCCTCTCCCACACATCGTCTCCAACCGTCCACCCTAAATCCCCGTAGTCGCTCCCTATCTCTCTGCCCCACATCACAAATCCTGTTTCTTAGCACCAAAGAAAGTGAAAACCCAAACAATTCCTCTATAAAATGTTTTTCATAAGATGACTATTTTTTTTTTGCTCATAGAAGAAGCAGCCTAGGGCTGCCAGATTATTACAATAAAGGAACACTTTCGTGAAGATAGTAACTCAGTAGTTCACAGAGGAGCCTGCTTGAAAGTACCTCTCTGGGAGCCATAAAAATTCAACAGGACAAACCAGTTTTGGAGACTGAGAGGCAACCAGGTTCTTTTTCACCATTTTCTCAGAAATCATTAATCAAGAGCCATTCTCGAGTCCAGCAGACTCTGCACTTTTCCTGTACAAAGGCTGAAATTTATTTTCTACCACCTTGCCACTGATTGACAGAGCCCTACAGAAACGTATAAGTGTCTGTACTTATATTTAACTGACTCAAGAGTTTAGAAGAACACTCTGCTGAACTCTGGCCCCGGGTGCCCAGCCTGGGACGGGGAGACTTAGCACATGAATACTTGTCCAACAAGTACCTTCAAGGTCTCCTGAAATGTTGGATCCACCGTGTTCTTTTGGACTCCAGTCTTGCGTTTTCCCTGGGAGGATCTGTCAGGCAGTAGATAGGTCTTTACGTACCTAGTGGCCAGACAGAGACAGGACAAGGTGAGAGCTCAGCAAGGTGGTAGGGGGCAGGGGGACAAAGGGTTCAGAAGGAGGAGAATCAGACCTCAGCATTTTCTTTACCCTGCTTCCCCCTGGATTGGGGGTTGACAGAAAGAGCTTGGTGGGGAACAAGGACAGTGCTGGCTACACACCTTCTGGCTCACACAGTCTTTGGCCATAATCCTCTGGAATGTTCCTGGGGGTGTAAGGCTCCCTTGCTCTCCTCCTGCCCTACCCCTAGCATCTACATCACTTACTACCTGCCTATGTGGTGATGACCACGGATGCAGAGGCTGGGCTTTTGGGGCTCCACGGTGGCAGGTTAGAGAACCTGCCTGGATGTGGAGGTCCTGTGTCAGCTTGTCCTCCCTCCACCTGTCACTTCCTCCAACCCGCCAAAAAAAAAAAAAAAAGTGAAAATAGGAAGTATATGCCTCACCCTTTACTTTCCCCTTGTGGGGCCTCTCCACCTGCATTCTGCCCGTCCCCTGAAATCCTGTTCTAGACTGACCCCTCTGGTGAGGTCCTCACACTGCCCTTTCCTGGCTCCTCTGGCCGCTTCGGTGATGCCAAGGACTACTGATTCCAGTAATGGCTGGACCCTGTGTTTTTATCCATTCTGACAATTTCTGCCTCTTGATGGGAGGGTCTAGATCATTTACATTGAAAGTAATTACTGATAAGGAGGGACTTACTTCTGTCATTTGCTATTTGTTTCTGTAAACCTTCTAGCTTTAGTGTCTCCCATTTACTGTGGTACTGTAGTCATTCTTTTGTATTTACTTTTTTAAAGATTTACTTATTTGAGAGAGAGAGAGAAGGCATGCGCACACGTGAGTGGGGCTGGCAGAGGGAGAGAATCTCAAGCAGACTCCCCGCTGTGCTTGGAGGCCGGGCTTGATCTCACAACCCTGAGATCATGACCTGACCCAAAATTTAGCTGTTTAACCAACTGAGCCACCCACGCACCCCCCATTCGTTTGTATTTAGCTGAATTTTGTAGTAAAATGTTTAAAGTCCATTCTCATTTCTTTTTGTATTATGTTCCATAGCTGTTTTCTTTGCGCTTACCAAGGGGATTACATCTCATCTCCTAGAGTTATAACACTCTACTTTGAATTTTTACCATCTTAACGTCAATAGCAAACAAAAACTCTGCTCCTTCCTAGTGCCAACCTCACCTCTTTGCATTGCTGAGGTCACAAAATGACACCTTTCTACACTGTGTAACCAAAATCACAAACTAATCCTTCTTTGAAATGCATTGGTCTCTTAAGTTAGGTCAAAAACAAAGTGTGCAGTTATAAACCAAAGTTACAAACAAACAGCAGTAATAAGAGACAAATAATTTTTTAAAATATATAAGGTGGAAGTACACACCATTGTTAAATAATACTAGCTTTTATCATTGCCTGTGTATTTGCTTTTCCTGAGGTCTATTTCTTCGCATGACCTTGAGATACCGTCTGGTGTCCTTCCATTTCACCCCGCAGGGGGCTCCCTCGAGTATTTAGTTCCTGCAGGACAAAGTCCCTCAGCTTTTGTTTATCTGAGAATGTTTTAGTTTATCCCTCGTGTTTGAAGAACAGCTTTGCTGGATATAGGATTCTTGGTTGACAGGTGGGTTGTTCTGTTTTTTTTTTCCCCCCTTTAGCACTTTGAATAGGTCTACTGACTGCCTCCTGGCCTCTAAAGGATCTGATGAGAAATCTGCTGGTAATCCTCCTGAGGACGCCCGGATGGGAAGGGGACCTCAACAACTGGAGGAAATTGCCACAATGGTTGCCTGCTTCTGGGTCTGCACCTCTGTGATCAGAAGCGGCAGTCTGCAGTCAGAGCACACAACCCTGATATTTGGAGGACAGACTCCCTTTATTTGCCCACGCTGACTCCTGCAAGCGGTGCGTAAGCTGCTCTGGGAACACCAGCCCGGCTGCCTGCCATGTGGCTGGGCGTGGGGGGAGGGAGAGCAGCTATTAGGCTAAGAGCGGAAATTGACTGACATGAACCCCAATGTACCATCCAAGTCTTCCGTGGGAAGTTGCAAGCCTTCAAGAGACTGCAGTTCCAAAGCCGTTTCATGAGAGAGCTTCTACCAGTGCAATCACTGTCTTACAAGGGGAGACCTACGGCTTCCCACCCTGCCACCTTCCCAGAATCCTCTCTGGGCTGTTTCTCCTTTAAAAAGTACTGACTAATATTCTAGTAGGCATTTCACTGACGGGCAACTCAGTTCGACCCTATTAAGGCTTGATTTTGCTGAGGTAGGGAGAGTTGGAGTAGCCCCTCCTCTGAGGCTGGAAAAATCCTACAGCTGCGTCCCAGTGAGTGCCCCAGGTGTTCAGCAGTCTCCGCTCCGGCTGGTCAGAGCTCCCATTTTCCCCATCACTGCGCCACGCCCAGGGGCTCACCACCCCCAGTAACCGCGCTGTGACAGACCTCATGAAATCTTGTCTGTATGAGCCCTGAGTATTTGGCCAAAGCCTCAAGGGGGTCCCTCTGTGGAGTTTTAGGTCTACTTCTCTGTGCACTTTGTGCCTCACTTGCTTCCTATTTGTTGAATGTTTATTATGTTCTAGACAATGTTCTGAAGGCTTAACATGGGCAAATTCCAGGAAACACTACAACAATCCTTTGAAGGAGGTGCTATTATTTTCCCTGTGTTACAGTGAGGTATGGAGAGGTTGAGTGACTTGTCCAAGGTCAAACCACATAAATGGTGGACCAGGGTGCAATGTCCATACCCTCAACCACCTCACTATAGTCCTTTTGAGAATTACAAGAGAGGCTCAGCATGCATGAACAGTCATGGGCAGAATAATGTCCCATCCTGTCTGATGGGACTGGACAGTAGTCTGAAGAATGGACAGGATTATGGTTGCTACTTGTGGGAGTGGTGTAGGGAAAGTAGTCACAACATAAACATGAGGAAAGCCTCTCTTTGGAAAAAATCAGGGGACAGCTTTGAAACGACTATTCCAATTCTCCTGGAGCAAAAGGTATAAGTTGGGGGAATAACAGAAGTTAAGAAACCAGAAGGACAAGAGGGACACTGTTATGGAGACCCTAAATACTCCACAGCAAGGCACTTCATGTGTCCTGCCCTGAGGAGCTCCTGAAGGTTGCAGAGCAGAGCAGAGTTTGGCTGGACCAACAATCCATCCCCTTTCCCTGACTGGTAATTAAAACAGTATGCTCAAAGTTTTCCATGTAAGAAAAAAGAAAGGCCATAGAAAATCAATTCTAGTTCTAAGGTGAAGGGATTGAAGTATGAAAAAACTCTAATAGATGAAAATAGAGAAGGATATATTTAGAACCTTCAGGTAGAATTTTTCTACAGACTCAAAATACAGACATTTTAAAGGAGAAGACTGACAAATTTGACATCAAATTCTTTTCAAGAAAAGCCATCATGAACAATGTTAGAAAACAAGCAACAACTAGAAGATATATATAATACATACAATCAATGAAGAGTTGTATCCAAAAACATCCTGGGAAGAAACCAAGAAGAAAGTCTGGGGCTTTCTCTCTTACTGCAGAGAGAGCAAAACCAAACCAAACCAAACCAATCATTCCTCTAAATAAATTAAAAAATGGCAAGCAACCCAGTAGAAAAATGCCAAAAGATATGAATGGGAAGTTCACAAAAGGGGAACCCTATGTGTCTAATGCATGCAATAAAAAGTTGCTCATCTCTGTTCATAATCCTAGAAGTTTCCAAGTAGGCCAAGTTCTGCATCTGGACTTCTGATTCCACTGACTGACCTACTTATCTATCATTGTTTGAATTACTACAGCTTTAAAATCATTCTCAATAGGTTTTCTTTATAGTTCTGTTCTTTTAAACAATTGTCTTGGTTATTTGAGGACTTTTACTTCCCCATATAAAATTCAGACCCAATACGCCTACCACCTAATGTCAAAACTTAGAAAAAGAAACTTACGGATTGCACTTTTTCTTCTTTTCCTCTCCATAGGCAAGATTCTTACAGGCCTTGATGCATATTTCTAAAGAACAGGTTTTGAAACAATAGCGAAGGGCAAATTCTATTTCTCCAGTGACATTAGCATTGCCAAAATTGCCCATCTCCGTGCAAGTGCTGTTAATGCTAATTAGACTGGCCTGAAATCAAGAAGGACAGACATAATAAATTACTTCACAGTTAATCTATTTGTTGCAGTTCTGGTTTCGAGATATCAAATTAATCAGACTTCGCACAAAACATGCATCCTGACTCATAGTAAGTTAATACTACTCCAGTTTGTACGTTGCCGAAATAAGTGGCCACATAGTCTGTCCTAAGGAGATGGGAAATCCTCAGAAAGCCCGGTCTTGCCCAGATACGGTGTTTGCCTAGCAATAAAGGTTACACAATCTCATTCTTTAACACAAATCAGTTGGGATGAAGTGGATTATCTCCCGCGAAATTCTGCAAAGGTAAGTCTCAGGAGGGCAGATAATACCCGTGACAGGAACAGCCCTGTGGAAAGCAGCAGAGCGGGGGTGCTAAGTACCGGGACTGGGAGTCAGATACAGCTGGGTTCCGACGTATCCTGTTGCTACTAATTAGCTGTGTCAAAGTCTGAACGGACAAATGAATACTCGTCTCCCGGGGTCGCGGTAAGAAGTAAATGGAATCGGGCGCCTGGGTGGCTCAGTCGTTAAGCATCTGCCTTCGGCTCAGGTCATGGTCACAGGGTCCTGAGATCGAGTCCCACATTGGGCTCCCTGCTCAGCGGGAAGCCTGCTTCTCCCTCTCCCACTCCCCCTGCCTGTGTTTCTGCTCTCGCTCTCTCTTTCTCTGTCAAATAAATAAATAAAATCTTAAAAAAAAAAAGTAAATGGAATAAAATGTGTAAAGGATGTAGCCCAAAGACAACAATAAATTCTAAATTTTTATGGGTATTTCAATGAAAAACAGAACTGCCACCATAAGTTAAGGCACTGTGAGCTTAGGTGATGTGGCTAAGTGGCACGGAATGCCCAGGCCTAAAGAGACAAACCAACTACTGTTGCACTATTACACTTGCTTAAATATTTGCCCCATCTCCCGGCAGAAATCTCAGTGCTGACTCTCTAGAAATAGGGAAGCCTGAAGGATTTCCACTTCTAATTCCCAGCGAGATCCTCCATGCTGTAAAACATCCTGGGAAGAAACTAAGAAGAAAGTCTGGGGCTTTCTCTCTCACTGCAGAGAGAGCAAAACCAAACCAAACCAAACCAAACCTACAACTCATCAGAATTAACCTCTATGGGGCCGGAAGCCAAGGGCTGAGTTAACTAAGGCCAAGAACCAACCAACTTCACCGCACCCAGTCACTGGCTCTGAAAAATGGGATCTGCCAACACCACACAATGGTTCGAGTGGAGAACAGTCTTTACGTTTCACACTCACAAAGGCAAGGAGTGGTAAGACAGCAGGAATCAGGGAGGTCCCCAAGAGTGAAGAGGGAACGGTAGGGATGCTTGGCAGAGCAGAAGGAGGGCGTTAATGCAGGGGCTCAGAAGTTCCAGTGATTAATATGGCATTCGTCCCGGGACCTCACTTTGGGCCACATCAGGTTAAGTTGCAGTGTAGCAACTTCTCTGCCAAGAACAAACAGAAAACGGAATTAAGTCCCAAACAGTTTCAAGGCGTCGTAGGGCTCCCAGGACAGCCAGGACCAAGGGTCCAAGCTACTAGAGAAGCCCAGGGGCACAAGCTGATGCTCTGTGTCTCCCTCTGAGGCATTTGTCCACAACCCTGCGAGCCGGCAGAGCTGGAAGACAGGAGAGTCAAGCTAAACGCAGCAGCCACGGGGCTCAGAAGCCAAGGGCTGGGAGACAAAAACTGGTGTCGGGGCCCTGAAGGCACAAAGAGCTTGAGCCGCCAAGTTCACAGAGAAAGTGGAAATGCAGCGAAGTGGGAGAGACACTTTGCAGCGAAGTGGGAGAGATGGTTCTTTGCCCTTCAAGGGCTTTGCTGATTTGGAAGCTCTCACTGAGCAACTGAGAAACTTAAAAATGCTTTCCAGGGGCACCTGGGTGGCTCAGTTGGTTGAGCGACTGCCTTCGGCTCAGGTCATGATCCTGGAGTCCCGGGATCGAGTCCCACATCGGGCTCCCTGCTCGGCGGGGAGTCTGCTTCTCCCTCTGATCCTCCCCCCTCTCATGTGCTCTCTCTCATTCTCTCTCTCTCAAATAAATAAATAAAATCTTTAAAAAAAAAAACAAAAATGCTTTCCAAAGTTCTTCTTCCTGGAGAAGCCCACCACAGAGGAGGCGCTTGGTGACCTCCAGACTTTCAGTGGGGACACCCCCACCCCCACCCAGCTTCTTTCCCAGGAGCAAGAGTCCACAGGAAATGGGGCGGTCCTCACAAAGCCTGACACCCAGCTTTGAACGAGCTCAACACCAGATGGGTCAGGGCTGTTTACCTTCACTCTAGCTGTCTGCTGGAAGCAAAAGAACATTCTCTCGGAAGGAGGGTCACACCCACCTCTCCGTGCCCCTGGAAGTTCCAAGAGCACAGGGCCCTGCACGTTCCTGCCCTCACTTGTATCTCCAGCACCCAGCTCAGTGCCTGGCTCATGGTAGATCCTCAGTAAATATTTACAAAGGGAATAGAGAAAGCACTTGAAGTACTTTGATTTAGAAGTGCTCTATGTAAATATTATGGCATGAAGGGGTACACGGTCTTGTGCCTGAAGGAGTCACAGAACTGAAGTGAGAAGGCTCACTCGGGTGGTCGTCCTAATCTTCTAGAACTTCCTTAAGTCATTAACTGCGGATTCCAGAGGCAAACTATTTTTAAATAAAGCCACATGTAGGCACATAATAAAATTGCTGAAAATCAAGACAAAAACGAAAAACCATAAAGGCAGAGAAAAAAAAGATGTGCTATCGTTCATGGAGGAAACGGTAGGGGCAGGAGAGGGTGGGCACCCAGGTATTGCTCGGGTGACTGGCTGCTTCTGTTCAGGAGGGAAAGGAGAGTAGGCTGGGTACAGCCTACACATTCCCGAGATAATTTATGTCTCTACCACTGTTGCCTTGGGAAGGTTTTCTGGTTCTATTTTCTTTGTAGCCAGAACAGGATCTTGGAGCAAGTTGCAACTTTGAGCAGCCCATGGAGGCAACCCAGAAGTGCTGGCCGAGGAGAGCCACTAAGAACTCTGCCGGACTTTCATTTGAGCCATGGTGCTGCTGGGGTTTGAAAGAAAAGGAAATCTGAGCACAAGCAAAGGAGAACTAGCTAAGGCAGGCAGGGAGCATTCGGTGATTTCTCCGAAGGGCACGCGTTAGCTACGGTAACCGCAAGCAAGCCTCGATGCCCTTTCCTTTCACAAAGGCAGGAAGCAAGGGGTCAGCGGAAACCACAGCTGCGGCTGACCCTTGAGCAACGTGGGTTTGACTGTGCAGAATTTTCCAGTAAGCACAGTACAGTACTGCAGACATGTTTTCTCTTCCTTGTGGTTTTCTTAACATTTTCTTTTTTCTAGCTTACTTTACTGGAAGAATACAGTACATTATACATATAACATTCAAAATGTATGTCAACTGACTATAAATGTTATCAGTAAAGCTTCTGGTCAACAGTAGACTATGAGTTAAGTTTTAGGGGAGTTGGAAGTTATACACGAATTTTCGACGGCACAGGAGGTCAGTGTCCCTGACCTTCACGTTGTTCAACCATCAACTGTATTCTTTAAAAAAATAAATAAAAAATCCTGATCACCAAGAGCACACTGAGATCATTACTGCTGAGTGGTCAAGATGGTGGCCATGGAGCCAGACAGGCTTCCATTCGGCCCCGGGTCCCAACACTTAGTGGCTGGGTGATCTTGAGCAATATTCTTACCCACTGTAGACTCAGTTTCCTCATCTGTAAAATGGGGATCTATTTCATAAGATTGGGATGAGGCTCAGTTAGTTAATGCACGTAGAGACTTAGAACCGTCCCCATGCATACTGAGTATAGGACATTCATTACCATTTGGAAAATGCCACACAATGTGGTCGTCCTTCGTAAGCTAAGCAAATCATTTCCTTTGTTTTTCTCCTTTTTTTTTTTCCACTGTGAAACATTTTAAAAGTACATATAATGGATACCTCTAGTTAAATAGTAACTATAGAATGAACATCCATGCGCCTCACCACTCAGATGTCGAAAAATAACATAAGCAGGACCTCAGCAGTGCCCTGCCCCCACCCCGCCCCGTCCAATCTCTTCTCATTCTTGTCCCTGAGTAAATGCTGTTTCGAAGTTTCCTGTTAATCATCCTTGTTTTTCTTTATGGTTTTAATACATATGTATATATCCCCCAAACAACATACTGGTTAGTTTCACCTGATTTTGGAATTTATATAATTAGCATTCCTACTGTGCACATATTCTGTTTTTTAAATTCATCCATGTGGTCAGGTGTGGTTTGGGCTCATTCATTGTCACTCCCAAACAGTATTCCATTAGATGAATGGACATAATATAGTCATCCTTTTTTATTCTGTTTTTTAACAAAAACACATTAATATGTGTAGAAAGCTAAATACAACTCTTTTAAAAAATCAGTAGAGCCAGATAAGTTCAGAAATATTAATGGAAAAATGAAGAATTTCCACACACACCTCTGTATGATGGACCAAGTGAACAGTTTTGAGCCAGTCCCTATTTAGAAGTGACCGAAATGCCAGGATGACATCCCACGTCTCAAATTTATCTTTAAAGAAAACACCTGGGGAGTTGGACTTTTTAATTCTTTGATTAAAAATCTGCTCCCTCTCAAACTTCTGCCAACCTCTATATCTGAGTTCCAACGTGAACTTCACGTGGTCACTCCTGCCAATCACAACACCTTCTGGCAGGAAAAATGTAAACTGCATGAAAACACTGATATAAATGCATTCCTTTTTAGATTTTTTTTAAACAGAAGTATAAACAAAATTAAAAACCAGACAGGAACTCTGGTAGGAATTTTTCTCCCGTAGGAAGTCTAAAAAATTAATGTATTTCTTCACACCACCAAGTTCCCACTCCTTCTGATTGGATTTTTCTTTTTTCTTTTTTTTTTTTTGGTAAAGCAAACTATTTTTTTCCTCCCAAAACATTACACGTTTATGGAAAAAATACAGGAAATACAGATGAGCTCCCAGAAAAATTTTAAGAGAAAAGCATCACCCCATCGTTCCAGGGTCAAATTTTGGTATAATCCTTTCACTTGTTTGCAATGTCTGTAGGAGAACCATTTTGTTTTTATAAATATGTGCTACTATAAGACTATTTTGCAACCTTATAGGCTCATTTACCAATGTGTATTTTCTATATTAATATTCTTCAACATTATTTTTCATAGCTACAAATATTCCTCTGAATAAACGTACCAAGCAGTTTCTAAGAATGTCTGCAGCTCCACACCCTTGCCCACACTGACCTGTATCACTTCTAAATTTGGCTAAGATGACCCCCAAAATAGCACTTGCTTTCATTTGGCACTGATTTAACAACCTGGGAGGTTGTTTCCCCTACTTAATGCCCCTTTGTATTTCTCCTCTTGTACTAAGCAGAGATTTAGTAAAGCTTTTTCTGGCTCTGACTTCCTGCTTCTTAAAGAATGTCAATGTCTGTCAGGAGAATGGGCAACATCTTTGGGCTCGAAGCAATAATCCGTATTTGCTTTGTGGGAGTTTAGTTTCCTCAGGCAAACACTGCTTCAGTCTAAAGGGAACAGGTGAGGCGTAATCACGGAATAACTCAACCTCACGAGGGTAACTTGAAGGGCACAGATCAGAGCACACCAGACAGAAGACAGGGAGAAGGGAACCGTGTTGAATTTGCGGGGTGGCTTCGAAGGACTTGCCCTAAGAAACCGAGCCTGGGTGCGAGACACACACTCACCCGCTTCTCCTCACCGCTGCAGCATTTCCCACCAGTGGGAAAGGTTTCCTAGGTGTGGGTCCGCCCCAGGCAAGTGCAGCTGAACCGGGGGTGCGGCCAGGGGACCCCCTCCCTTGGAGAGCTCACCAAATCCGGGGGCCAGCACAAAGAGCCCTGACTCACACAGCTCCCGGGTGTTGAGTCAGAGCTCCAAGGTTACTGTTCACTTCGACCTCTGGGAACCAGTTTTCCCCATTTCAGAAATGGGGTAATAGTATCCACCTGGCACGATCGTTGTGCAAACGACTGATGGGGAAGCACCTGGCTCAGGAGTTTGCACAGTAGGCTTTCCATCCACAGTCGGTCGGGTAAGGAGCCGTGCCACGGTCCCGCAAGTTTTTGCTGAGTGCTCCTTCCGTGGCAGGTGCAGCTCGGGCACCGGAATGACAGTTGACAATACCCAGCAGGGAAAGCAAGGACACGGTAGAAGGTGAGGAGACCATGAGTAACAGAGAGAAGGGAAGGATGACGGCGGGCAGGGCAGGGCAGGGCAGGGGTAGGCTTCCCGGGCAAGGTGGCTCTTGTTAGACTGCAGAGGCTGACCCAGTAGGTCTGGGGCGGGGCCAGAGACCCTGATTTCTGGAAGGTCCCAGGTGATGCCCGCACTGCTGGGCCCCACATTGTGAGGAGTGAGGGTGCAGAGTAGGCGCAGAGAGAGGCAGGCGCACGCGGTGACGGGCGGGGTGGGGGCCGCCCGCAGTTAGTAGACGAGGCAGGGATGTTAGCCGTCCTTCAGCGTGCAGTCTGGCCCGCTTCTGCCTCGACTTTTTAACGTTTCACCAGATATTCATGTAGTTGGGGGACGGGGGGAAGTTTATCATTTTCTAAAGTGAATGCCATTTTCCGTAAAAACCCAACCGCCCCAATGCACAGAGAGGTTGAAGGGTGCGCTCTGGGTCACACTAGGGGAGCTGGAATGCGAACCAAGAAGGTGGTTTCTAGAAGCTGAGTTCTTAACCACTCTAACACACCACGGAATGAGTGCATTTGGATTCTCAACACAACCCAGTGAAATAAAAAGAACAAACTTGATGCCCATTTCCTTGATGAGGACTCTGACGTTTGGAGAGTCTTTGTGATTGTCTAAGATTATTTAGTAAGTTCAAGAGCTATGACAGTGAGGTGACCCATCCTCCGAGGCTCTGTCACATCACATACCACAATCTCAGGCATAAAGCCAGCATTCCTTCGATGTTTTCAACTAAACAAATGAATGACTAAAAGGTCTGCCTCTTAACAGAGATGATCTTTAAAATATTTTGAAAAAGAAGAGCACAGCTGGAGGACCCACGCTACCTGACTTCACGGCTCCCTACAGTAATCAGGATGGGCCACAGCCCACACGGAGAGGTCAGAGCAGAACAGAGAACCCAGAAAAAGACCCATGCTTACATGGTTACTTGATTTTCAACAAATACCAAAGTCAATGGGGGAAATGAGAGTCTTTTTTAAATAATTGGTGCTAGAATAACTGAGTATCCATGTGGGACAAGGAGCCTCAACCTACACCACCATTCACGACATCAAGGAGCTGGAGCACAGACCTACACATAAAAATGAAACTTTCATGGGGCACCTGGGTGGCTCAATCATTAAGCGTCTGCCTTCGGCTCAGGTCATGATCCCAGGGTCCTGGGATCGAGCCCCGCATCGGGCTCCCTGCTCTGCGGGAGGCCTGCTTCTCCCTCTCCCACTCCCCCTGCTTGTGTTCCCTCTCTGGCTATGTCTCTGTCAAATAAATAAAATATTAAAAAAAACTTTCATAAAGCTTCTAGAAGAAAACAGGAGGATGTCTTCATGACTTGTGGGTAGACACAACCCAGGAATAATTGTAAGAGAAATACCTGATAAATTAGATGTCTTTGAAAGTAAAAACTTCTCATCCCAAAATACCATTATTTATTATTAAATCTGTGTGTATAAAAGAAAAACCATCAAAGTATAGCCAGGTTTCCCCCGCTCCCAACTACCTCCAAGTTGTGTTGTCCTGTGCCAGTTCATCCCACAGGACGACACTTCCCTCCTACCCTCGCTTACCAACCCAACCTGACATCATGCTGACAGGCAAGCATCATGGGTCCAGGGAATTAGATGAGACTCACGTGTCTCAAGCCTCCTGAGAATAAAGTGCTGGGAATTGGCCTGGATGAGAGATCCTCTTGCTTCAAAACAGGGCTAGTAAGGCGTCTGGGACTCCCTTGATCGAGAGGTTTCAGAATATCCGGCACGCTTGCCTTCTGGAAAAGGAAACACAGAATTAATAATGGGGTCTGCGTCCCAGTGTGATCTTGTTCAAATGTGGTAACTACAACAAGCAGAGCCTGCATCTATGACCCGATGACACTCATTCGCAAACTTCTGGGTGCTGAGTAAGAGAGCACATTTCTGCTTGGATAAATGCATACACACACACCCGCGGGGCCCCGGCAGGCACCAGCAAGCACTGGGATATTCATGAGCAGTGGTGGGTGGATCACTTATGGATTAATAAGTCTTAAAGAAGTTAAGTCCACATTTTGACCTTAATAAGGATCCCTACATTAAATCACATGAAATCCAATATTTAGCCTATCAGTTTGAGCTCTAATGTGCTTATAAAAAAGGGGAAAATCAAAATGTCTCTTAATTTTATCAAAATACTTTAATAGTCAGTACCTCTTCTAGAATGTACCCAGCTGTGCTTTCCAATGTGGTAGGTACTAGCTACATGTGGCTATTTAAATTTAAATTCCCATTCATTACAAGCAGATAAAGTCAATAATTTTGGCTCCTCTGTTGCACTAGACACATTTCAAATGCTCAGGAGCCACACGTGGCAGAGGTTAGAAACTCCCAAACACAACGCACAAGGTAGGAAACCTCTTCCTGGCTGAACTCACACGAAGTTTGTGAATCTAGACTTTAGATTTTGGTGCCGGGTTGGAAGTGGGACTCAGAAATATAACATTTGCAGTGTAGTTGTAATTTTCAGGAGTGAAAGACTGAGAATATTAGCGAGCAAGTGAAAGAAGTGATTAGCTCCAGATTATTCTTATGGTTTATGCTCTCGATCCCCAGAGCGCCAGCTCAGGTCCGTCCGACATTTGTTAAGCAACACTATCTTTGACCCACTGCTCTAAGTACTGGGGCGGAAAGGGGGGGACAGAGGAGAAGGGGAAGGAGAAGATGCACTGTCCGCCCTCCAGGGGTTCGCCTAGCTGGTCAGGAATAGATACACCACTGAAATGGAGTCACAAGCCAAGTCAATGGAAAAGAGGGGAGGGAGAGCTGATGCAGAAGAGGGTGTTGGGATGATCTCTGGGGGAAGTATGACCTGAGTGGGAGGTTGAAGCCTGGCTGGGAAGAGACTCAAAGGTGGGGCATCACGAGTGGAGGTCCCATCATGAGGGTCAAGTATGGAGCATGTTCCTGCACCTGCTAGCGACCATGCAACCGCAGAGACTCAAGAGGCCAGACAGATTCCTGATGTGTCAGGTTGTCCAGAGAACAGGTAGCTTGGGGACACCAAAGAGCCGGTCCAGGGGAGGAGACAGTAGGCTGGAAGAGTTGCAGATCCAAGGGAAGGATTTCAGGGATGAAGGATGTTCAAAGAGGAGAAAAGAGAATGAGAAAAGACTCACCTAAAATTAAAGAAATGCAGATTTTTAAAAAATTGCCTGTCAAATTAGCAAATATTAAAATAGAAAGTGTAACATTTAGTGCCAGCAAAAGTGCTGAAAAGCGGGCTACTCCACTTCTAGTGGTCTGGTAAACTGAGTCAACCCCAGAGGAGGGCAGTTTGGCAGCATGAATTATAAGCCCTAAAAAGTAGTTGTAAAAAATGATGATATATATGTATTGACATGGAAGGAATTAAAATATAATGTCAGAGGTTCTTAAGAAAGCAAATTACAAAAGCGGATGTGTGGCATGATGCCTTTTTAAAAAAGATTTATTTATTTATTTGAGAGAGAGTGAGTAGGAGGAGGGGCAGAGGGAGAGATCCCAGGCCGACTCCGTGCTGAGTGCGGAGCCTGATGCGGGGCTCAATCTCACGACCCTGAGGGCATGACCTGAGCCAAAACCAAGAGTCAGTTGCTTAACCGACTGAGCCACCAGGCGCCCCATGATGCCATTTTCATAAAGCGGGTGTCCATGCGTACTCCAAGTGACTGTCCTGGCTCAACGCTGTGCCTGCTTTTTCTTCTTCCCTTCCTCCTCCTCCTCCTCCTCGTCTGTTTTCTAAATTCTCATTAGTGCATAGGCATGGGTATTATTATATATAAAAGCAATACAATCATTTTTGTAATTAAAGAAAAGAATGGAATTCTGGTCAACTGTGCCAAAGGCGACAAAGTCACTGACGAGGATGATGTTCAAACTGGCCACCATGCTCTTCAATCAGGGGTGCCTGGGGGCGCCCCGGGTAACAGTGTCACACTGGCATGGGGAATGGACTGCACGGAAGCTAGGAGTGAACAGGAGAGAGGGCAAAGCAGGCCAAGTGCAGTGACAGCAAGAGCGGAGGATGTTTTCATGGATTTAGGCTGTGACAAAGAAATGGAAGAGCAGCTTGAAGAGAATCTTTCCAAAGATGCTGCTTCCTTTTTTTAAGATGGGGAAGATCGGGGCATACTTGCAGGTTGAGCAGAAATGGAGACAGGAAAAGCATGGAGCTGAAGGAGCAAGGTCCCAGAGGGGAGAGAGGAGGATGGACCCCGTGCCTGGGAAAGAACGTCCATTTCTGAGGCAGGAGGAAAGTTTTCCAGAGAAACTCCAAGTGGGAGGAAGTAGGAAGAATTAGTCAGAGGGTTCTCCTACCGCAAGGCCTCTACCCTCTGAGCGCGTCAGGGGATGGCCTTGGAGAATGTGGAAGATGCCATGTGAAACAGCAACAAGGCAGCCATCAGTCCAGCATAGAAAGAATAAAATGAGCTAAATATTAATATAAAGCTTTGTGACACTGAGGTGTTCAATAATCACTTAATTCCATTTTCCCTAAGGCAACATAGTTTTTACATCATAAAAAAAAATACTGATGACAGAAAGTTCTGAAAAGGAACAAAGAGAACTATCCTTATAGTAGTGATCACATGGCAGGTCGAATTCATAGGCAGTGATGACTGTGCTTCTAAATATGTTAGGATTCTGGAAAACCTTTAATGAAGCTTAAGTGCAAATATACATATTTTGAAATAATTATTAGAAAAGTCGACACTATTCTGAAGAACATGCCTATTCTGACTAAGGAATCAACCTGAAATGTCATGTTCAACTCTTCCCCAGTAAATTCAGAAGGGCCTGGATGACTTTGTCAGGTCCGTGCCATTAAAGGGCATCAAGATTCAAAGAGCAGCTTATCGACCTTGTGGAGACAGGCATTTTTTTTTCCCCTGTGATTTTTAATGTATTTCAATAACTATCTGGTTCGGGCCAGATTACAGAGAAAAATGATGGCCCCGAATGAGGTCTACTCTGCACGGAGTTAATAAGTTTAATATTCTATGCTGAAAGATCAATAAACATTAGGCTTGATTTGATCAAATTATGGACTCCCTGGAACCACACGATCTGTGCCTTTGGGATTTTTTTTTTTTTTTTTTTGCTGATCTTAAATAAGAGAAAGGGAGTGGTCCCTGCCACGCTGAGATTGCAGCTGAAGTATCAGAAAACCCCGGGGCTGGGCTTGGCCAACAGGCCATGCTCTGAGCAACATCAAATCCCAGCTGAGAGGGAGGCTGCCTCTCCTAGGACCATCCCAGGGTGGGGGAGGGCGGGGGGCGGAATCCACAGCCCTCAAGTCTGAGGACCAAGTGTCTGCACAGTTGAACCCCACGCTGCCGCCTCCCCTCTTCTCCTCTGGCTGCTCAGCCTTTGAGTGGGGCCAGCAGGTGCGGGGAGAGAAGGTATGCAGGAGCGCTGCGCCCAGGGCCCAGTGGTTTCTTCAGATTTCAGACCTACGTGGGAAAACTTCACATAAAGGGGCATAGAATGAAAGAAAGGTTTCTTCCCCGCCTGCGTCCTTGTTCCCTCTCCTCAGAGACAGCCCCTCCCAAACCCTTCTTGTGTTTCCTTCCTGGTTAACAGGTGCGTGTCTTTCGGCCACTGTAGATCCGCCACACGTTAATAAGATGCGCAATAAAATCCCACGGGGATGCACAGGAGCTCGCAAAGGACGGGGAAGAGAAGTCGCCTTTCAAGAGTCCTGGCCCAGATGCTGAAGGGAGGGTCTCTACAGGACATTTTCAGAACATGCCGCTCACACCTAATGGTCAGAGAAGCGAGCCTGAGCTGCTTTCTCAGTTACCAGCCCAGCGTCACCATGTGGTCTTAAGTTATCTGCTCTTTCTGTGCCTCAGCCTAGCCACCTGCAAAGTGGGCACTGATGTCCCCTACTCCCAAAGGGCACCACGTCGTGTGCTTGATGTGGGCAAAATGCTCCCGAGTGCTCCAATGAAAATGTGAGTGTGACTTTTATGAGCTCGCCAGCTAGGGCAGTGTAATTGCAGTCTGACAAACGTCCTATTTAAAGATGTACTCTTTATATTTCAACCCCGTAATTATTTAGCATTTATAGAGCAGGCCATGATTGCTGAGGACTTTATAAACATGTGGCTAAATTGCTCCTTAAAACAGCCATATCCTCAAGTAAGGTGGGGAGAGAGAATGCCTGCAAAAGGTAGAAAGCACGTCCTGCCAAGAGCATGGCAGCAAACTGGACGTGCATGGAGGAGTGTCTGCAGGATGGGTGCTCTTTGGCCATGGCCGTCCCTGGTCTTCCTCGCTTCTACCCTCAAGCTCCCTGGTCCCATTAGACAACCTTGCAATTACCCAGCAGGCCAACAATGGTGCCTGGTAACCTTAGTGAGGGTTAGCATCAGAGGGGCTTCATCCCAATTATTGCAGCCCTCATTTGTCCTCCTTACATGGGGCATAGAATGAGGAGGTTATGAGTATAGAATTTAGAACCATACAAACCTGGACCCTACTCCTGGCCCCACATTTAATTAGTTATCTATCCATCTATATCTATCTATCTATCTATCTGACAGGACGGTTACCCTATGGCTAAAGCTCAGGCTCTAGATCTTTATCATGGGAGTAACATTATCTATCTCAGTACTTTTGTAAGAATTAACACAGGGTCTCCTGAATGCGCACTAACTTATGCTCCATCTGCTGACCCAGGGACAGTGGCTGGGATGGTGTTTGTGCAGACCCCAGGGTGCCCACGGGAACGAACACTTGTTCGCACTTCGGCGTTTCAAAGACCTTCCGAATACATCTCTAGATGCCTTCTCCTCAATCTAGGGAGTCCTAGGGGTGGCAGCAGCATCATCTGCTCACCCAACAGCTCCTCAGAAACTCATCGGAGACGCTGCATCTCACACCTGCCCCAAATCTCCTGATCAGCCTCTGCATATCGACAACATTCCCAAGTGACTCACACACACATTAAACTTGAGAACAGCTGCTCCAGAGTTCAGCCTCCAAAGCAAGACCGCCCACCACTTTCTGGTTATGTAACCCCAGCCATGTGACTTCGTCACTCTAAGCCTCAGTTTCCCTAAATGCAAAACAGGGCCAAATGCAATCCATGGTTCATGGGATAGTGTGAGGATAAAATGAGATGATCCAGAGAAAGCCTTGAGTGGAGTCTGGCACATAGTAAGAAAGACTGGCAATTTAGATAGTATATTTAGATGGCTTAGGTAGCGATTTAGATACTGTATTATCTCGGGAGATCTTTACAAGCGGCCTGCGCCTCGGGCAGAACGAGAATTATCCGCTTCATTTCGCCAAGAGCACATCAGTGCTCAGGGAGTTCATGTGACATGCCCAAGGTAAAGGGTCATGGATGGAGGCAGAATCTGAAACCTTGAGATTGTGTGTGGAAGTTCCCGCAGGAGAGTGGGGGTTAACCCCCTCCGCTTGCCTGGGGAGTCTATCTGGGGACATCCTGAGTGGAGCCCGCAGCTGCAGGAAGGGGGACCTACCCTGTCCAGCCAACCAGAGTGGTCCTATTGACCCTGTCAACAGCCAGGTGGTGGGACCTGCCCTAGCCAGGTCACCTCAGCTGGACCAGAATGCAGGTGTTCTGATTCTAAAGTCGCTTTCTCCCCTGTCCCAGCGCATCTGCTTCAGACTTGGTTAATCCTGGTGGAAAGCCAGACTATTTCCTTAAAAGCCTTTATTAGGTGCACTCTCTCTTGCAGCTTAGATACCCGGAGAGCGCCTCCCTCGTGATTGCCGGGGGTCATGCAGCATTTATGTTTTTAGTGGTTTCTATCAGAGACCAGGACAGATTTTAACTGGAGGTTGTTGCCAAGTAGAAAGGCCTCTTGACCCTCCCTGAGGGAATCACCTGGCCCATCTCGCCCCGCAGGTGGTCCCCTTGCCTTTGGGGTGGCCTTGAAGCCCAGAGGGAGTTCCGGCAGACACCCAGAAGTCCCAGGGGCTCGGGATTAGGCCGAAGCTTTTCCCTGCCCTCAACTATTTTCCAAATCGACCCTGAAATTTGACCGTCATTTGGCCAGGCCTTCCCAATAGAGGGGTTTAAAATTACGTTTTTTTCAGAATGCTTAATGTGGTGCTATAAAATAAGAGACGAGGGCGCCTGGGTGGCTCAGTCGGTTAAGCGACTGCCTTCGGCTCAGGTCATGATCCTGGAGTCCCGGGATCGAGTCCCGCATCGGGCTCCCTGCTCGGCGGGGAGTCTGCTTCTCCCTCTGACCCTCCTCCCTCTCATGCTCTCTGTCTCTCATTCTCTCTCTCGCAAATAAATAAAATCTTTAAAAAAAATAATAAATAAAATAAAATAAAATAAGAGACGAAATCTACAGAGGAAATGGGTTGGCAGCGGCTCTCGGGGCGGCCCGGGCGCCTTGGGGACTACCCTGGTGGTGATGTTGATAGCAGTGTCCGACTGGCTCCTCCTCTCCGTCTGGCCAGCATGCTGCCTGGGACCCGTGGCCCGGAGCTGCTTGTCAGAGGTCATGTCGTTCTGGGACTTGGAAAGCTCTAGAAAACAAATACAAGGGATGACAGGTGGGAGCGCACAGCTTTGACAGACTCGTGGGGCCCTCCTCTGGGAGCCCCTGCAACCACACCCCGAGGAGCCCCCAAGGTCTCCCGAGGTGAGGCTTGCTGCGTGGGGAGGATGGCACATCCAACACCCAGCTCCGGGGCCGGGGGGAGCATCCCCAGACACGGCGTGCTGGACACGGGCCACACCGCGCCGTGCACGGGACAGAAGAGCCGGGTTCCCAAAAGGTGACCGCGTGGCCACGTGCTTCTGGGGGCAGAGAGCCACCGTCAGGGCGGGAGCGAGAAGGAGGTCTTCCGGACAGGTTACCCTGCATCCTGGGCCACATACCACGAGCAGCCGGTTGTCCAAGCACAAAAAAGGCAACCTCACAAACCAGCCGGCTTTTTAGGGGTTCCTTACAAAGACTTATAACTAAATATCATCTCTTGGGACCCTCTGAAAAGAGGTGGAAGCACATTCAGGGTACCCCTATAATTATTTTAATAAGCAAATCCTGGAAATACAACTTGTTTTTGCAGTGTAATAGTGGCCGAGAATAAAGGTGAATAAAGTGAGAAGGAAGAAATCCATACCCAGAAGCGAGCTAACCACCTCAAAGATGATTTTGTCCCCCCAAAACGTCTTCCCTTTTCCCCGGGGTCCTTGTCTCTCTCAAAGATGACCTTGAAACTATCTTTCGAGCAGCGCTCTCCAATAGATAATAATGTTGCTCACGTATGCCATTTCAAATTTTCTAGTAGCCTCATTTAAAAAAGAAACAAGTAAGACTGATTTTAACACTGTGTTTCATGTAACACAATATACCCAAAATAGTGTTAAAATATATAATCAATATGAAAATTAATGAAATTTTTAATTGCGTAATGGACACAGAATACACCCTAGTTTCTGGTGCACATTATGAAGTGATCACCCCACTAAGTCTAGTTACCATCCTTCCCCATGTAAGATTGTTTCGATATTACTGTTTTCCCCGTGCTGTACAATTAATGAAATGTTTAACTCTTTTTTTTTAACACTAAGTTTCCGGAATCTGGTGTATTTTACCCTTTTTTCGGGCAGGCCATATTTCAGGAGCCACCTGCTGTTAGCATACTGGACAGCCCGGCTCCACAGCATCCTGTCTCCTGATCCGCTCCTCTAGATGCTATTTCTTGGGTACCTCCTGCATGTGCTGCCAGGGCGTACTTCCGCGGAGCGTCTCTTCTCTCTAGAGGAGAACCTCATCTGCCCCCCAGAACCTCGGGGCATTTTCCTTCCCACCAGGGTGTGTGGGCCCTCTCCTGTGTGAGAGCAGTACAGCCCACACTGCCCTCAGGTCTGCCCTCCGGAAACCGCGGGGCATCTTTCCGCACCAGAAGCTAGCAGTGTCCCGGCACACACCTGACCCTCGAAGCTGACGGTGAACATGAACTCCTCATACGCCAAACCCCAGCCCCGCTACGAAGGGTGTGAGAGCCCCAGCAGGAGAAGCCCCCACCTTGGGGGACGGTGGCCTCCCCCTGCCATCTGTCTGGCACTCACCCCAAAGCCTGTGCCTTCATCTGGTCCATTTAAGTGCACAGACAAGGCGGGTGGGGGTGCCTCCCAAGCTATTCAGCTTCTAACGACTAGGCTCGGAATCGGCATTATCGGGTGAAAAGGAAAACTAACAGCAAGAAGCACAGAAGGGCCCTGAAGCGAAAATCAACGTTCTTATTCCTCCTCCCCTTCGAAGCAGGGCCAGGGTGCTGGAATCTCCTAGAAATGCAGCCATGATAAAAAGGGCTGGAATTGGGCGCGTGGGTGGCTCAGTTGGTTAAGCGACTGCCTTCGGCTCAGGTCATGATCCTGGAGTCCCGGGATCGAGTCCCGCATCAGGCTCCCTGCACAGCAGGGAGTCTGCTTCTCCCTCTGACCCTCCCCCCCTCTCATGCTCTCTATCTCATTCTCTCTCAAATAAATAAATAAAATCTTTACAAAAATAAAAAAATAAAAAGGGCTGGAATTGCTCATTTCTTCCAGCCAGATTGGCTTCCCCGGGCAACCTCAGCTGCCAGGGGTTGTAGCCCTGGGGTAGCTTCCCAAACTCTTCGGGCCAAGGCCCCCTCCAGCCGTCCCCCCAGAGACCCCAGGTGACACCAGAAAGAGGCTGTCCTCTGTACCACTTCTGTAGGAAACAGGCCGCACAAAGGATCAAGAGGGACATGTGCCCACCAGCTGAGGACCTGAAGAAAAGGGAGTCAGCCCCACCTTGCTGCACGCCCTGAGGCAGAGACCGGATGAAGGGTCTGTAGTCTGTGCCCCTTCCCGAAGCCCCTGGAGCACCTGGGAGAGCCGGTGGGCAGACCATCCCTCCCATGGGCCCAGAAAGCTGGGTTTTTTCATCCCTGCCTCTGGGCTGAGGGTTTGGCATCCCATGAAGTACTAGAGCCTAACAAACAGGGAGGGGGCGCAGGTTAAGGGGTTCAATCCATGTCCCATGGCAGAGACACGATGCTACTCTGCTCTTTGGAACCCCCACCCCACCCCCCAGGGATTAGCCCCGGCTCTCCACCTGGGTCTGCTGATTTATATGGATGGCATCATCATTACGCTCAAGGTATTAAACTGGCGAGTCTCAAACGGGTGAGCCTGTCCCAGGCGGGGCTATGGGTACGTAAGCCATCCAAGCGTACCCGTGTGTGGGTCCCAGCATGCGTCGGAGGGTGTGTGACCTGGGACAAGATAAAACGTGTGTCCTGCCTCTCTGGGTGTCTGGCTGAGGGATTACCAGGTCAGAGTGAATGCTGAGGCAGGACTCCAGAATACGGCGGTGGGAGGGGATGCACAGAAGCCGCGTGGATTTGGGTAGAGGCTATGCTTCTAGAAAGAGACGCTGAGAAGTCTCGGCAATTAGAGCGGCCGCAGGAACAGAGCCAGGGGCTCAGAGTTCAAGCAGCTGTTACAGCTGGAAACCCGCGTCCAAGGCTGGTGCACACAGAGGGCAGATGTCGTCTGAAAGCCAGGCAGACTAACGGGGTGACTTTAAACCTCCGAGCTCTGTTAGCAAGCAGGCGGCACGAAATTCGGCTGCTTCATCTTTCTGAAGCAGAGGGGGACAGACTGTCTCATGAGACAGTCACCTTTCTGCTTGTCTGAAAAGTGGTGCTTTGATTTGAGTTGTCACGAGGCAGCTCAGAAGGGCTCGTGGGGAATATGGAGAACTAATTAAAATCAAGTAATAAGACTGTCTCAAGGCCAAGGGACAACACTGAGCCCATCCCTATGCACCAGCGTGGGGAGAAGCCAAACAGAAGCACCGTGAAAGGGAGTGGGTGCCTGAGACCCCCTGCCCCCCACCCTGGGACCATCTCTCTGGGCACCTTTGCAGGCCTGAACAGGAGCTGTTCTCGGGTTTGCGGTTTAAGATCAACAGGGAAGAATATATGAGCAGAAAGAACATTGAAAGAGGCAAGACTCTAAGCAGTGGTAGTTCTGGGTCCCTTGCATCTGCAAATCACATGATTACTGCCCATTGAAGAAGATAAACTGACCAAGACGGAAAGAAGAACGGACAAGCAGTTCCGTGCAAACGACAGACAGTGGGCCATGCCTGGTGGGAGAGCTCGCTCCCAGATCTCATTCACTGGAGCCGTCCCACCCCCCGTCTTTGTGGGGCCATGGAAGAGGCTGCAGCACCTGCCCACACTGGTCCGAGCCGGCTCCTTCCCACCACGTGCTGAGCTCTGCCAGGTTTGGGCAGCAGTGGGGGTAAACTGAGCCAGTCCAGGGGGCCAAAGGGGGTCTCCTCTGCCCCCAGGAGACCAGAGGCCTGCTCTGCAGGTGGAGGGGTGAAGGGCCGGGGCTGTGGCTGTCCCCAGGAGCTGGAGACAGAGGTCCCCTTGCCGGTGGGCTTGGCTGGCCTGGCTGGTGGTGGGGAGAACACATGGAGAGGCATCCACTTACTTTTCATGTGGGTGGTAACAGACAGAAACAAATTTTCCACGGATTTATTAAATCCTTTAAACTGACCAAGCTCCTGTAATTAAAACAGACAGAGGAGAGAGAATGAGAGTTATATTTGGAGACTCGTGTCTGCCCCAGAAGCCTGCAGGCTGCTGCCCCCCAAACACTGGCAGGTGTGAGCAGAGTGCATGCGTGCGGGTGTGTGTGTGCATGCAGGTGTGTGTGTGTGCATGTCTGGAGAGGGGACCCTCTTACTCACCTTCTTTCCTCTGAGGTTTGACACCCCATTTCAGCAAGGGGCATCAGCAGTGGGGTAACATGGTAACAACTACATCCTAGGAATAATGACCGACATTTCTCTGGCTCAGGCCATGCTCGGGTAGACTCCTGCTTCCTTAGCCAGCTCTTGTATGACCCACCCCAACCCCACACAGAGCAGATGCCAACATGGCAAAGGGCACAGGACACAGTGGCCCATGGTGGTACCAGGCTCAGAGCACCAGCTTGGAGCCAAGGAGTTAGTTCTACCCCTCTAAGCAGGAGAGAGAAGAAAGAGGAAGCAAAAATGACAGAAAGGAGGTCACTTTTCCCTTCAAGTCCCATCCCTCCATCCCTCCCCATCCCCATCCCCATCCCTCCTTCCATCCACTCCTCCATCCATCCATCTATCCATCCATCCACCCCTCCGTCCATCCATCCCTCCATCCATACATCCCTCCATCCACCCTTCTGTCCATCTTCCCATCTACCCATCGATTCCTCCATCTATCCACCCCTCCATCCATCCATCCATCATCCATCCATCCATCCCTCCATCCATCCATCCCTCCATACACCCCTACATCCACCCCTCCATCCATCCATCCACCCCTCCATCCATCCACCCCTCCATCCATCCACTCCTCTGTCAATCTTCCCATCTATCTATCCACCCCTCCATCCATCCATCCACCCCTCCGTCCATCCATCCATCCCTCCATCCATATACCCCTCCATACACCCCTCCCTCCATCCATCCATCTATCTGTCATCCATCTGTCCATCCATCTGTCCGTCCCTCCCTCCATCCATTCCTCCATCCATACACGCCTCCATACACCCATCCCTCCATCCATACACCCCTCCATCCACCCATCCCTCCATCCATACACCCCTCCATCTATCCGTCCATCTACCCGTCATCCATCCATCCATCCATCCCTCCATCCATCCACCCCTCCGTCCACCCATCCCTCCATCCACACACCCTGCCTCATCCACCCCTCCATCCATCCATCCACTCCTCTGTCCATCCATCTATCCTCCATCCATCCATCCCTCCATTCATATACCCCTCCATCCATCCATCCCTCCATCCATACACCCCTCCATCCATCCATCATCTATCATCCATCCATCTGTCCATCCATCTATCTGTCCCTCCCTCTACCCTTCCAACCATCCATCCCTCCATCTAACTATTCATCCCTCTATTCATCCCACCCTCCCCTCTCTACCCACTCTTCTCTCCCTCTATCCCTCCATCCATCCCTCCCTCCCTCCCTCCATCAGTCCCCCCATCCACCTCTTCCTCCATCCATCCCTCCCTCCTTCCCTGCTTCCCTCCATCCCTCCCTCCTATCCCTCCCTCCCTACATCCTTCTATCCATCCATCCATCCCTCCCTCCATCCATCGATCCAGGAAATATGTCTTGAGCACATCCCTGCTGGGACAACTTCAGAGGATTTAGAATCTCAAGGAGAAAGTGGAGCAGAATTTTGAAGGTCATTCCAGGGACTCAGTTTGAAACTGCAAGAAGAATAAATATACTCTCTCTCTCTCTCACTAGCATATGAACATGAACATGCCTTTCTATGTACAGATATACTCTCTTTAATTCACAGAATAATAATAATGAAAATAATCAAGACCATGTGTTTTCATGGCACTTTACAGTTTCTAAGTACCAGCACAGACATTATTTCATTAGTTTCTCACACCAGCCTTGGGAAGCAAGCCAGAGGAGTATAACTATTTCCATCTCCCAAGTGGGAATCCAGGTAACTTCTCTAAGATGACACCACTAATTTCTGTGGACAGAAATGGTCCTGGCCTATTTTATGTTAGCATCTATAAATACTCAAAAGGTACACACACACACACACACACACCAGGCACTCCCACACCTATGAATCACACACCTGTGAATCAACCTGTATTTATTTCTCTTCACATCCCCAGAGACCCCCAACACACTGCAGCCTATTCAGACCCCCACACTCAAGAGCACAGGGCACACATAAGGAAGACAGCCAACAAAATGACAAGAGTAAAGTGGTAGGGGGTGGATGTGGGGCACAGGCAGGGATGTGGGGTGCAGGTGGGGATGTGGGGTGCAGGTGGGGACAGAGAGTGCAGGTGAGGACGTGGGGTGCAGGTGAGGATGTGGGGTGCAAACAGAAGGTGAGTCATTGTTAATGCAGATGATCCCATGGCCCCCAAAGCATAGTGGGAGCACAGACACTGGGCAGGCCCAGCACTTCTGGCCTCCATTCTCTGCCGCCCTCCATGGCCTGCTTCTGCTACAGGCGGATCCCTTTGCTCCGACGACCTTGGCCCAACCTCTGAGACCCCGTTCTTCCTCTGCCTCTCTCCCACTGCGCCTTCCCCAGGGAGGCACACAGAACAGACACATTACCCTGTTCGAGCTGCTACTGCATTGGCTTTCGCTCAGAGGAGGTGGGGTAGGAGGAACCACAGAAATTTTGCTGCCAAGGAAAAATACAGGAATAAAAAACGGGTTATGAATGATCCAACTATTAGTCTTACAAATGCATGGGACTCGCCATCATCCTCTCGTTCACGTTCTCTTTTTTTTTTTTTTTTGCTTTTTGCTTTTTGCTTTTACTTCCTCATGTTTTAGAAGAGGATCCAGCGGCCCTGCATGGATCTGCTCCTCTAGGCAGGGTGCAATTTCCTGGTCTCGGGATGCGGCAAATGAGCGCCGAGCTGCCCCGTGCCCAAGCCTTGTGTGCGGCGCATGTCGTCTAAAGTAGCGCGGCCGCTCCAGAGCCCAGACCAGGTGTGTGTCCCCCGTGGCCGTGTGCGTTCTCTCAGCAGAAATCCCAACAGAAGTGCCCAAGACGCCATGCCAACATCAAGCATGAGAGGCATCAGAAGTTGATGGGGGAGGGGCACCGGGGTGGCTCAGTCGTTAAGCATCTGCCTTCAGCTCAGGTCCTGATCCCAGGGTGTTGTGATTGAGTCCCTCTGCCTCTCCCCCCTGCTCATGCCTGCTCACTCACTCTCTCTCTCTCAAATAAATAAATAAAATCTTAAAAAAGAAGAAGAAGAAGAAGTTGATGGGGGAGAAAAAAAAAAAATGAAGTCCCAAGACTGGAAAATCTCATAATGGGCCAAAAAAAAAGCCGGGGGGAGCTTTCAGTAATACTTTAATTTATTTGGTGCAATCAGGTGCGTGAATTGTTGCTCGCTCCAAGAGTGCTAGGTGTTTAGGATTTTGCATCAAGAAGTTAGATCTTGGGCGCCTGGGTGGCTCAGTCAGTTAAGGGACTGCCTTCAGCTCAGGTCATGATCCTGGAGTCCCGGGATCGAGTCCCGCATCGGGCTCCCTGCTCGGCGGGGAGTCTGCTTCTCCCTCTGACCCTTCTCCCCCTCATGTGCTCTCTCTCTCTCTCTCTCTCATTCTCACTCTCTCAAATAAATAAATAAAATCTTTAAAAAAAAAAAAAAAGAAGTTAGCTCTCCGGGTGCCTGGGTGGCTCAGTCAGTTAAGCGTCTGCCTTCAGTTCGGGTCATGATCCTGGGGTCCTGGGAGCGAGCACCTCCGGCTCCTTGCTCTGCAGGCAGCCTGCTTCTCCCTCTCCCCTGCTTGTGCTTTCTCTCTCTCTCTCAAATAAATAAATAAAATCTTAAAAAAAAAAGAAGTTAGCATCTCGCAGACCATGCCTCACTGCTGCCAATTTTATTCCACGGATGTCTGAGGAGTCAGTTACCAGGCATGATGTTGGAGATACGAATGATTCATAAAAGCAAATGCCTGGTTCAGAATTTCATTTAAAATGCCCTCAAAAATAATATCTCATTTTCGTACCACATTTCAGGAGAATTTAGGAAATAAAACCTTTAGTGAGAAACTGCTCTGCTAGCTCCCAAGAAGGCCCTTCATAAGAATCTGGAAAGATCTCTGTTTCAATCTTTTCCAGGCACTTTATCATTTAAAAAAAAAAAAAAGTCACATTCCAGAGCAGCCACGTCTGAAAGTCAGGAGATCTAGAAGTTCTTTCAGCGTCCTTTTTTCCCCAGGCCAGGGGAGGGCCAGGACGGTCTGCCCTCGTACAGCACTCACCTCAGCTCCTGATAAGATTGCAAGAGCTTTGCTCCGGCTGTCCCGTGTTTGCCTGGAAGAGATAACAGCAAAGGTCATTCATTAGTAAGAAGACAACCTTGGTGATGCAAACACAGGAAGCAATCAATTAAAATTATTATTTTTCTAATACCACTTCTTGCAATTAAAAAGTAAAAGACCATCTTGGGGTGATAGAAATGCTCTAAAGTTCGACTGTGGTGATGGTCACACAACTCCGTAAATTTGCTAAAAACAAATTATATAATATGTTAAAAAACAGATGACGTTTATGCTCTATAAACTACAACCACAAAAGTTGTTAAAAATGCAGACATAAACACATACATACACATAATTGCTGGGAACGACTGCTTTTATTAAGAGTTGACGTAGGGTTAGATTTTCTAAATCTGGAAAATCTGAAAAGCAGTCCAAGCTTCCAAGCTTCCATTTGTCCTTTGGAAACATTTAATAATAGCATGACTATATTCCTTTAAGCATTCCTTGTTATGGGGATTAAATTAATCTGTTAAAAAATGTAATCTACTTATTTCTAGTTGTAGAAGCTAATAATTTCCTAAATAAGACCGCTTCTGATATAGTACTCTTTTTGTTTCCAGGCAAGGGGATTTTATGATGTATTAAGACCCCAAAAATAGAACTCTCCATAGTTCTGTGAACACAATGTTTCCTGGCCCAGTGCATAGGAAGAGGTTAGTCTGCCCAGCCCTCCTCCACCCTGCCCGACACAGGGCTGGGAGCCACCAAGCCTGCCATGCTGTCTAGCGCCCGTGGGGTGTGTGTGAAGGTTTTCATCCACCCCCAAGAAAGACCGACATACATATTCACATCACCTCCATCAGAGGAGAAGCAGGGCAGGGAGGACTTTGGCAGGCGGGGGGGAGCGGGGGGGGGGGGGGAGGAGGGAGGTAAGCGGCTCTGATATCAAGGCCCGAACCCTAAAGCTAGGAGGAAGCTGACCCCCAGGGGAGGGCTTCCTAACTGGAGCCGGCCTCAGGGAGTGTGTGAGCCCCGAACTCACATGTCAAGCTCTGAGTCTCCCTGTCTGTGTGCATTTGGGGGCGGGGGTGGATGATGGTGTTCACCAGATTCTGGAAGGCGTCCGTGAGCCCTCCCCCGCCCCCACTAAGGCTTCTCTAAGGCGGATCAGAAGGGCAGCCCCACAGGCCGAGAGGGGCACCTGCAGAACCCACACCCGAGGAGCCACTGGAAAGAAAACCGCGAGGCCAGAAGAAAAAGAGAACGACCCCGAACTGCTTCACGGTCGGTTGTCATGAAAGCAGAAAAAAGCAAGGCAAAGAAAAAGAAAAACTAGAGACACTGTGTATCCAGGGTGTCCTGGGTGAAAAGGCGGACCCCAACAGGGGACAGCGAGGTCGGAGCCCTCCTGGGCGTCGGCTTGTGGCTCCCTTCCCGCCCACCTGTCTGCTCAGATGCTCAGCATCTTGTCCCTGGATTGTGGTGACAGTGTCCCCAAGGCACAGCCACCAGGCACAGCGCACCCCCTCATCGATGCTATCGTTCTACTGCCGAAAGCTCTTCAGTGACCCCTTACTGCCATTGCCCAAAGTCCAAGCCCCATGCAGCGTCCCGGGGCCTCCACATGCGCCCCTGGCGCCCCCTCTCCAGCCCGGCTTCCCTGCCTGCATAGACATTGTCTACTTACTCCCACTTACCCCCACCTCACCTCCTAGCTCCCACTGCCTGGGCATTTCTACCTCAGGCCCCTACCTCCATCTTCAGTTTCAGCTTAGTCCCCCGACACCCCATTTCCCAATACCCCTCCTGAGGTCCCCGCGAAGGCCTGGCCACAAACGGCTCTCTGCTGCCCCCTGCTGGCCGCATCGGGCCTGGCCGGCCGCGCTGTGGGCTCCGCAAACCCCCTCCGCAGAGACAAGTGTTCTGGGCTCTACACAGTCTCTGTCCTCTGCCGCTGTGACAGCAGCCATGCACAGCATTAGGGTCGCTGGAGGGGAGGCGGGGGGATGGGATACCTGGGTGATGGGCACTGGGGAGGGCACGTGACGGAATGCGCACTGGGGGTTACGTGCCACTGATGAATCACCCAACTCCACCTCTGAAACTAGTAACACACTGTATGTTAGTTAACTGAATTTAAATAAAATTTTAAAATAAAATTAAAAAAAAAATAGGGCGCCTGGGTGGCTCAGATGGTTGAGCGTCTGCCTTCGGCTCAGGTCATGATCCCAGGGTCCTGGGATCAAGTCGCACATCAGGTTCCCTGCTCAGTGGGGAGCCTGCTTCTCCCTCTGCCTCTCTCTCTCTCTCTGTCTCTTATGAATAAATAAAATCTTTAAAAAAATTTTAAATTAAATTAAATAAAAAAATAAAGAGTGGGCATGTCTGTGCCCCAATAAAACTTGGTGGACATTGAAATTTGAATTTCATGGCTTTTTTACAGGTTGCAACTATTTTGACAATTCCAAAATGTAAAACTCATTCTTAACTCACAGGACATAGAAAAACGGGCAGGTTTGGCCCTCGGGTCCTACTGCACCCCCATATCGTTGCTATTCCAAGTGTGGGCAGCACCGCAGTCCCAGCTGGGAGCTTGTCAACAATGCCGAGTCCTGGGCCCAGCCCCGCTGCACAGAATCGAGGTCCGTTCGCTGAAGTTTGGGAAGCGCTGCCCTGTTTATTTCCATGTTGCTTCCTCCTCTATTCCCTCACTTGTTTCTTATCAGAGGCTTCCTTCAAAAGCCCTACTGACTTTTCGTGAACATAACAATGCACGGCACAGGGGCGCCTGGGTGGCTCAGCCCTGGGCTCGGACTTGATCTCGGCTCAGGTCACCATCTCAGGGTCGTGGGACTGAGCCCCACATTGGGCTCCACGCTCGGCACAGAGTCGGCCTGAGATTCTCTCCCTCCGCCTCTCCTCCCCCTGCTCCATCTCACACTCTCTCTCTCCAAAAAATAAATAAATAAAATAACCATGCATGTAACCACGGGGAGGAAACACGGAGAAAAGGATGCCCTCCCAGGCGTCCTGAGAGGCGGGGTGTCTGAAGCAGGGGCCCCGCTGTGCCGCTCTGGCTGCCTCATTGGGCCAGAGGCTGGGCGGAGGAGCAGCTGTGGGTCGGCAGAGTCCAGGCTTCCAGAGCACGTTCGAGAAGGTGCGGCCACCGTTGGTCAGCAGCAGACTGCACTGCGCTAGGCGCAGGGCTCCATGTGCCTTTGCTTCTTGGGTTGTCTCCAGGTGTCATCTCAATTTTATCAACGAAAACTGAGGCTCGGGGACATTTTGTAATGACAAAATACATACAAATGACAAACCTGCCTTTCGCACCATGACTTGCCTACAAAGCCGGACACACACAAGGTAGGGGGGAGCGGTGACTGGTACGCGGGGGTCTCCCATTCTCTCTACTTTCCTCACGAGGGAAAATGTTCATAATAAAAAGCAAGGGGAGGGCGCCTGGGTGGCTCAGTTGGTTAAGCGACTGCCTTCGGCTCAGGTCATGATCCTGGAGTCCTGGGATCGAGTCCCACATCGGGCTCCCGGCTCAGCGGGGAGCCTGCTTCTCCCTCTGATCCTATTCCCTCTCATGCTGTTTCTCTCTCTCTCTCTCTCTCTCAAATAAATAAATAAATAATTTTTTTTAAAAATTAAAAAAAAAAGCAAGGGGAGAAACAACCACTTATAAACCAATGGCCAATGCCCAGAAAATGCTGAGATTCTTCATTTTAGACATGCTTTCTATTTGTCCTGGGTATCTCAGGCCACATAAATCAAGGGACCAAGCCCGTGCACCGGGATTGGGGCATCCAGCCCTGGGTGTGAGCACCGTCCCTGCCCCTCTCGGGCTCCCCTTTCTCTCCTAGCCTGCTCCCTCCCCCCTGCAGCGCCCCCCACCCAGAGCACAGGAGAAGGAGAAGCCGTCCTTGGCTTGCAGCTCCCTGTCTACGTGGATACGACAAGTTGTTCTGTGAATGAACTTCCTTGACCAGCATCCAAGGCTGCTATGCATTGAGTTGTATCCCCTGAAAAGACATGTTGAAGTCCTAATCTTTTTTTTTTTTTTAAGATTTATTTATTTTAGAGAGAGCGCGAACAGGCATGAGAACTGGGGAGGGACAGAGGGAGAGAATCTCAAGCAGACTCCCCGCCGAGCACGGAGTTCGACACGGGGCTCAATCCCACAACCCTGAGATCATGATCTGAGCCAAAATCAAGAGTCAGACGCTTAACCGACTGAGCCACCTGGGTGCCCTGAAGTCCTAAGCTTTAGCACCTGTGACTGTGACCTTATTTGGAGTGTCTTGGTGGAGCAAGCTGGGGGGGTCGTTGGGATGGGCGCCAACACAATATGACTGGTGTCCTTATAAAAAGGGAAAATCTGGACACAGAGGTAGACACGCACACAGGGAAGAGGAAGTGAACACGGCCATGTGACAACATAAGCAGAGACTGGAGTGATGTGTCCACAAGCCAACGGTTGCCAAGGATGGCAGAGAAGCAACCGAAGCTACGAGAGGCGGGAAAGACCCTCCGCTGGCGCTGGCAGGGGCAGCGTGGTCCCCCGAGCCTGGATTTTGGACTCGCAGCCCCCAGAACAGTGAGACAGGAACACACTTCCGCTGGTCGGAGCCGCCAGTACTTTCCAGGGCTGGTTCCAGCAGCCCCATGGAAGGGCCGACAAGGTCCTCTATGCTTCAGGCCCTGCATGCCTCTCCGGGGTCTCCTTCCGCCACTCAGAGTATGTACCCCCGTCCCATTCGGAGGTGCTGGTGAAGATGCCCGGTGCCCACTAGACTCTCCTCTTCCATGCTCCTTGCTCATGTGCCCGTGGCTGCCAGTGGTTTATCCTCCGGGACCCGAGCTGTCCTCACGCACTGCCGTGCACACTTCTCTACCAGCCCTCTGGCTTCGCTGTCATTGTGTGCATCTGTGTTGGTCTCCCCGACCAGGCGGAGAGCACCCCGAGGACACAGGTCTCCTCTTACGCCTATTGGTGTCGCCAGCACCATCAGAGTATGTCGTGCGGGGGTGGGGGTTATAAATGCAACA